GCAGTATGAATGTTATATTTTAAATCTCCCCCATGGTGAATCTTAGAGGACGTCTGTTCTGGTGTATCCTCATTTCTTGGCCTGGTAGTTTTAATGGAGAAGCTGATCCAAACCAAACAGCAAATAGATTTCCTTTCTTGAGGAAAGTTTCCATTTAAGCTTCCGCTGAAGTAAAACAGTAAATGCTACGTTCAGACCGCATGCTGCAGAAGCAGCTAGTTTAGATGCAAAGCCAATGGTTGATGCACATCAAAAGGCAAAGCATCGGAGCTTTGGAGCAACGTGATGCGCTGCACAAGCAGCAGCTTCTCTAGTTGGAAAAATTTAACGCTGGCTGCTCGATGCGCCACATCAACCAATCAGAGAAGCTGATCTGGGAGCTGGCAGGGAGACAGACACAGCGCTGCTGATGCAGAGCGCTATGATCACTCCACTGAAACAGTTTAACGCCTAAATTCCCTTAAAATATTGAAACCTACCGGAAAAATATGTTTAATTAATCTGATGCCTGCAGTTTGGATTACGTACATTAAAAAAGCCTTCAAGCCGCAATGAACAATATCTGTAAACCACAAAGAGGCAACCAGGCCAGAGGCTGCTGTTGAACGGGACAGAAAATGACCGCTGTGGGGGGGGGGGGGGGTCTGAGCGGCTCCGACTGAGAAATAATATCTTAGGGCAGGATCGTAGTCTTGATGCACAGATAAAGATTTCAAACTAATTTTGACCCACTGATTACAGCAAAGATAGCAAAGCCGTTCTCTGCCATTGAACACAGGAGCAGCAGAAGCATCAGATGCATCTAGACACACGTTACTTGATGCGCTGCAGGAGCATTAAAGATGCACTTGAGGTGCGTCAGACCTCAATGTGAACAAGCATCAAAAACGAAGCAGCAGAAGCTTTTTTGCTGCTTGTAGCGTTTGCTGTCTGAACATGGCGTAAAACAGCTCACCTTCTCTGCAGCTCCTGGATCTCCGCCTATGAAGAAATCAGTCTTGCGTCGCAGGAAACTGAAAAATGTGTTCACTAGCTGTTGGAGCGAAAGAACAGACTCCAGTTAGAGGCATACAGCAGAATCGGTACTAAAACTTACACCCTCTGTTAGCCCAGTATAAAGGTTGTTCTGTTGCAGTTTAAAGAAAAACCTTTAAAGCATGACTATTTTTAAAGCAAAACACAAGCCATTTTGTAATATACATAGAAATTATTGCTACACCCACTTATTTCGACGTACATCTTTAAACAGAATCCCATCACAACATAACACACAGTAACTCTAAAAAATGAGCAGATATTTACATAGTTCAATAGTTACTTTCATGGTAAAATACACCAGACATGATACATTTTACAGCAGTCAGTGTGCAGCATGTATAATTTTGTAAATTTGCTTTCCCCTCAGAATGACTTCACACATTATCATTAGTGTACAGCAGTAAGCTATTTCTATATTTATGCTGCTATAGGCTTAGACTGCTGGAGGACACAGGGACCCCATTTCATCATTCTGCTTCATTCTATCTCTATTCTCCCACTCTGCAGAAACTGTTAGTTCAATCTCTAACATTCTGCTCTCTGCTTTTTCTCATAGTAGCTTCATCTGGTCTGTTCCTGACTGGCTGTGACTACATCCTGGAGAGAAATATCAGCTGTGCTGTTTATAGATGTTGGAGATCGGCCTGTTTTCCAGTGTAGTCCTGTTTCTCTGACTGACTGGCTGGATGTGCTCTCTTCATCCTCTGACGTGGGAGTTGACTCGGAGCTCGTCTGCCTGGCTGTGTGTTTCCTGGACAGGGCCTCCTTTTACAGTTGCCTTTTCTATCTCTGCTTCTGTCTCCTTGAACCCTAGTCAGCCTCAGCAGATGGCCGCTCACACCGAGTCTTGTTCTGCTGAAGGTTTCTTCCTGTTAAAAGGGAGTTTTTCCTCTCCACTGTCGCTACAAGCATGCTTATTGTGAGGGGCTGTCTGATCTGATGAACTGTTAAGTGCCTTGAGATGACATGTGTTATGAATAAGCTTTATAGAAATAAACTGAACTGAATTTAATTCTTTGGACAACTCAAAACCTCCTTTGCTTTTAAGGCTAAAATCCATCTAACTTCGTGTCCCCTCTAAGACACATGTAAGCCAAATATAGCACGACAACGGAATAAATACCACTATATATATAAACCATGTTAAATGTGTTAGCAATTCTCACATTTTATGATAAAGTAAATTGATTGAGACGGTTTCCTATTACCGCTTATAAATGTTTAAACCTGTACCCTGGCTATTAGCATCCTAGCATTAGCATATTAGCAGCACGCTGGCTTACCTCCTGCACTCCTCCTTCGTGTTGTTGGGCCATGACGAGCAACATGCCGTCATATTTTTCTTCTTCTTCCCCCATGTCGCTAGAGGTTGAATGCTAACGGTACCGTTGGCTGGGAGAGTTACAAAAATAAATGCAAGTAAACTGATCAGAAGAAAACGAGCATTAGGCTGAGCGTGTTGTCACACGACTTACTTCCTGGAAACTAACCCCACCCACGAAAGTTTCGACCAATTGGAAGGGCGTATTTTAAATGACAAGACTTTGATCCAATCATTTTACAGAATTTGCTCTGGGTGGAACAGAGGAGCCTGATAAAATAGAATTTTCTAGAGCAACAATTTATGTTATTTAGCGATGTTTTCTTTGTCGAACAGTAAATAAAATAGATGAAAATAAATAGCAAATAGAACAAAAAAGTTATATTGTTTCATTTCTAAACTATGAATACTTGTCAATAGTAAAGAATGTAAAATGAATTGTGATTACAGTTAACTTGAAACTGTTAGGATAAATATGAGTGATGTCAGTTTAATACACCTTAATATCAGCTGCCTGTTGTGTGTCAGAACTGAAACAAAATAACCTCTAAAATATATATATATATATATATATATATATATATATATATATATATATATATATATATATATATATAGATAGATATAGATATATATGGATATATATATATATATATATATATATATATATATATATATATATATATATATATATATATATAAACCTTCATTCTGTACGTGGCAAAGATTTGGGAATGGAATAAGAGTGGTGTCCTTCAGCTAATATTTTGATAAGGCTGGAATCATAGATGTCTCCTCATCTGCAAACATCTATGATGTAAAATGTGAAGATGTGGCAGACTGGAGATGTATAAAATGCCTCTTTAATAGTTTATCAGGCCACTTCCTGTTAAGTGAGCCTGGTTGGTAGGCAGCTGCCTTCTGTAACTCTAAGCAACTTCTCTGATCCGAGTAAGATTACAATTTCTATGAAAATCTGTTGTCCTGACTTATGGTTATTTAATACATAAAAGTTATTCAGGAAAAAAAAAAACAGAGAGAGAAAGCTTTAAAGCAGAGGTCTTCCACGTTTTCCAGGCCAAGGACCCCCAATCTGATGGCCAGATGGATTATATATATTGTATGAAATTGTGTTATATCAAACTGGTCCTCTATTACAGATGGAGTAATGTAACGTAAGTAATTTCTCCCTGGGATTATTAAAGTATTTCTGATTCTTATTCCTGGTTGATGGGACAGGTGTTGTGAATGGAACGGTGCCCAGCTTGAAAGAGCTCCTGTGTGTCGCTGAATGTGTGCATTGATGACCGAAAGACATCTTCTGCCTCCATTTATTTGTTTACTACAGTGTGTTGAATTCATGTCAATGTGTATTTAAATACATTTCTATTAGTGGAAAAAATTGCAGGGCGGCATATAAAAAAAGTCTAATCAACTGCGATCCCCATGCAGTACCTCTGTGGACCCCCTGTTGAAGACCTCCCCTTTAAGATGTAGACACAGAGAGCCTATCTTTAACAAAATGTGTGTCCGCCTGGTTAAATTAATTTTTTTCTTAGACATAAGGATAAACAGTCTTTAAGAATATTATGCATATTTTTGTCCTCTGTCTAAATGCAAAATAAACAGTTGATCCACACTTTCATCTTCACATAATTTATTTATTCACTTTTTTTACTGGCTTAACGTTGCAAGGTATTAAAATGCAGATACCACATTTTTAACGAAGACTTTATATAACAGTATAATACAAGAGAAGGGAAAAGTGCAAAAAGCATGACAGACAGAGCTGGAAGTTCTTAAATCAGTTTCATTTTGTGCTCTGAAATCAAAATCAGAAAGTATTGCATAACCTTATAATTACTTTTCTTTATACAGTGCTGATTAACTACAGACATAATTTCAAGGCACATTAAAGAACAAAGTGGGCCGATTGTCATCCAATTATACAGATAATGTTACAAAAGATAAGACAATCATAAAGTTCACACATGGAATTGAAATGAAACATACAACGGGAGGCTGGGGCTTAAGTGTATTATACAATTTAATAACCTTCAACAAAAAGGATAACAAGAAAATTATAAAAAAATAAATTCTTAACGAGGAAGTTATTCGATTAGATTACAATGATGTTTCTAAAAAGGCCTAAAAGTAACAACACCAAACATATTTAGCAAATGCTAACTGTCTAAAAAAATTACTAGATTATAACAGATATCACATTCTAACCTTTAGAAACATATAACAGAGCTTTAATTGTTTCTTTGAAGTTATCCCTTTAACGAAAAAAAAAAAATATGATTTAGCTTTCATGTTTTTACAGGAAATATGATGTACAGGGAGAAGCTAATTAGCTTAGCTTAATTTAGCATGAAAACAGGAGAGAGGTAGAAATCCAGGTGGTAAACTGGATTCATTTTAAATATCTAAAACTCTCTAACCAAATGTACTTTATTAGGTACATATAATAATTACTTTAACATGAAAATAAAATGTGCAGGAAGCTTTTGCTACATTCTTAGAGAGAACAACAGAGTCTAGCTCCTGTTGGCTTCATGCTAAGTTCACTTGCTAGATTGAAAAGAAAAAATTTTTTTTTTAATTTAATTTAATCTTAGGTAAGAAAGATATTTTCCTAACTTATTTTTTTAAGTCTACACACAAAGAGCTAATGTTAAAGAAAATAGGTACTCGTAATTTTTTTTAGAATACATTCAATATTTCTTCATCTTATCTTATACTATTGCCACTTTGCACATCAAAAATTCATCAGAAATATAAACATAATTAAAGACAACTAAGCAACTAAACAAATAAGCAGGTCTATATAGGCAAGGTTTTGAAATTAACATTAAACCAAAAAAGAAAATAATCAATAATCCTGGATGTAATAAGAGCAGAGTAATCAAACCCACAAGGTCAAAAGTCACATTTTAAAATGACAAACACTACAAAAAGGAACGGACGGTTAACTATCTATATAAAAAACAGTGGATTTTAAACCTGTTCACACCACGCCAAATTGCTAGGTACTTTTTTTTATTTTATAGGCCTGTTTGGAAACTTTTACCACCTCTAACATGTCATATCTTTTACTGTTTAGCTGAAAAACAAACCATCTTGTTTAGATGAAGAGAGTTAAAAAAAAAAAGTCGCTTGCTTAGGTTGACACACCCTTAGAGGTACATAGTTAAGTTATATGTTGATACTGAAAAGGCCTGAATCAAGCTGATTATGATTAAATAAGGCTACAGATTCCAAGCATCCATCCTGATAAGTGTTTTGATTGTCCATTTTGGGCCTAAATAGAATCCCAGCACTGGGTGCATGGAGCTCGGCGCCATATCGCTGATTTACCGGAGAGCCATATCCATTGATGCAGCTACTAAATAAGCCATTCTGTAATGCCCCATGAAAACCAACAGCTTGGTGGATAGGGCGTCAAAGGTAATCTAACCCCATAAGCACATTTAGCTAGGACATGCACTAACGAGTTCACAGTTGCATCACAATGCTTCCTGGCCTTTTGATCCAGCTTTACTGTTCTCCATTATTTCTATTGTTCTACAAGCACAAACTTAAGTTTTATCCCTCCTGGAATCAAACATCCTCTTGCATCCTTTTACTATTGATCTTGGACTTTTTTTTTTGCGGCTTTAAAGACAGTTAGTGGAGTGGCAGCCTAGTGGTTAGGGCATTACGCTTGGAATCCAGAGTTTGTGGGTTTCAGCCTGACTGCCACTCTGAGCAAAAAGACCATTAACCCCCACACTGCTCCCCGGGCGCCGCACAATGGCAGCCCACTGCTCCCCAAGGGGATGGGTTGAAATGCAAAGAGTGAATTTCACTGCTCTGTACTTGTGGCAGTGTGATGACAATAAAAAGCTGGGAAAAAACATTCCATGTTTGTTCGCCACCCTTGTTTTGGCTAGTTGTCAAATTGAGAATGTGACAACAATCTATACATTCTATACGGTTTGGGCCTGGATGAGGTATGGATGAACACAGAACATTTAACAGAAAAGAAAACATTAATCCCTGATATTCTACAGGTGTACGGGTCAGGGTGTTATGGTTTATGCCCACAGTTGAAGCTTTACTTTGGCTCCAGGCAAGCATCACCAAAAGAGCACTCCACCCATGATGAAACTGTGGTAGTGGTATCATGATCTGGGATTCTTAAAGTCCTGAAACGTTCCCTATATGGTAAGGTAACAATCCTACACATTCAGATTTCACAGGAAATCCAAGCATACATCAAAAGCAACAACAGAATGGTTTCTGGAAAGGAAGTGAAGGGTCTACTAAGTCCTTAAAAGTATAGTGGAGGAGTTCAGCAAATTTCCGAAAAGATCTGCCTTCTCCACTTTAAAAGAAAAATGCCATGCACAACCCTGTACCCGCTCCTGAGCGGGAACACCTATTAAACGCGTGCAAGAGCGTGCACAAGCCCATTTCTCCTCATGCATAATCTGTTTAAAAGTTGCTTTTTGTGTAGCTCATACAAGCTCTTTCCAAAAGAGGATTAGCAATTTTTCCCATCATGTCAGACTCACCAGCAGTCAGTGAAAATGGGACAAGCACGTAGGACGGCCTTACGTAAACGTATCACCAGAATGATTGACAATTAGGAGAACCACTTATTTTGATGATCCACCAGGAAAAAGAACATCCTCCACTACACCTTAAAATGAATCTACCTGAAGAGAGCCATAGAAAAAACATGTTCTCCCAATATGAGAACTTTGGCAAGCCGAAGTGAGCAGATTTGTTTACAAAGACTCCAATCGAAGATGACTGAATGCTGTTATACTTTAATAAAAATAACTAGTAGTGTAAAGTTTTTAAATGTTTTTTTAACTGGTCATTATGTATTTAACATTTGAAAAAACTAACATTTAAACAGTGATGTGTAAATTTTTTATAAAGCCATTGCCTAAAGGCTTTGTGTAGAACTTCCAAACGAGCAATCCTTCAAAGCACAAATGTAATATTTAGAAACCACACGTATATCTACACACCGAAACCTGAGGTCACTCAAAGACTTCCGACATTTTCCTTCTTCCACGGCAAAGGCATGGCCTCTGTAAGGAGTTTGGCTCAGCCAGAGGCTCCAGTCCAATAATTTCTTCCTGTTAACATTCTGCATGTGGGCTTACGGAAACAATGTGACAGGAATGCAGGGATGATTCATGTCCTCACTGAAGTGTACAGCAGAGGGACACCTGAGGACTCCATCTCTGAGCGACTGGATGAGTAGGTTGTTGGAGAACTTGAAGTGTGATCTATGAGGAAAGAACAAAAAATATAATTGACCTTAAAAGGTCTATATCCTGCAAAATCAACTTAAAAAAAAAAAACTTTTGGCTAAGATTCATAATTCATGTATGTCTGAGTAATCTTCATGAATTCTGCTCCCTGAGCAGCAGCAGCTCCCTGCTCTGGAAAAGAGTAGCCTTTAGCGTTTCAAGTAGAGCATCATTCACCTGCTCCCTCCAGGAATCACCTATTTCGACCATGCCCTTGTAAATAACACACATCGATCAGCGAGTAGTGATGTGAGGCAAAGGGCAATCATTTCTGCTTAAAGCTGTGATAAAGTGGCTCTTTAAACTAATCTGCACAGTAAGGAATTTGTCAAAAAACAGATTTTCCAATTCTGAATCACTTTGCATATTAATTCCTACAAATCAATACAGGATTGTCACCAGTGCAGGGTCAGACTGGTAATCTGTGATTCAGCACCGGCCCTCCTTAAATCATACCAGCCCCAACATTTGCTCTCCATCCAAAGCACCTAAATGTGACAGTAAATAACTCAAGGAGCTCAAGAATACGATATTAACTACCTAAATGATGCATGCGGTATATATAGCCCTTCCTTGTCATGCACATCCTTGCGACAGTTGGCATATGGTGCAATTTTCTATTTCTTCAAACTGTAAAATCTTTGCAACAAAAATGCTTTATATAAACCAAACTACGATGTTCCTCTTATATTTGGCGAATTTATGTTAGAACATTTTGCAACATGTTCCTACCCTCACCTATGGTCATGAAATCTGGATCATGACAGAAAGAACGAGATCCCGGATACAAGCGGCTGAAATGAGCTGCCTCCGCAGGGTGGCTGGGCTCTCCCTTAGAGATAGGGTGAGGAACGCGGTCATTCGGGAGAGGCTCAGTGTAGAGCCGGTTCACCTCCACATCGAGAGGAGTCAGTTGAGGTGGTTTGGACATCTTCTTCGGATGCCCCCTGGACGCCTCCCCTGGGAGGTGTTCCAGGCACGTCCCACTGGGAGGAGGCCCAGGGGACGACCCAGGACACGCTGGAGAGACTACGTCTCTCGGCTGGCCTGGGAGCGCCTATGGCTTCCCCCAGCAGAGGGAAGTCTTAGTCTGCTGCCCCCGCGACCCGGTTCCGGATAAAGCGGGAGACGACGACGACGACATTTTGCAAAAATATGTTGCGGTGCATGATGGGGTTTTGCATCTAAAGGCTAACGTTTCCCATCTTATGTGCTTTGTTGACGAGCACATTGACCTAGACTCGCAGTGAATACTTACACACCACTGAGCTTTCATGTATTCATTCTTGAAGAACTGCCTGTCTCCCTCTATATTGTATTGTTTTATGTTGGTGTTTTTAAAACACTCGGGCGTGTGAGTGGGTGGGTGGCTTTGTGCAAGTGTGGACGTTACAGCAGCAGTCACTGTTGTGTCTGTGTTAATAACCAAAGCCAGTAAAACTGCATTAAAGAAGTCTTGGTAATGGTTGTTGTGATGCTTGAAGATAGATCGGTTAATCCACAAAGTGTATTCGTATTGTGTTTCACATTTGAGACGCACGCATTTGACTATGCCTCTATTTTTTTTTTGTTTTTTGGGTGTAGATGGAAAAATGCCAGGGCCAAAAATCATTCCAGTCTGAGCCTGCACCAGTGTATTATAGTGTAGCAAAGAGGTACAAAAAGAATACACACACAAAAAAATACACACAGCCCTATGATGAGAACCATGGGGATTTCCACTGACCTCCCAGACACCATTTACTACCATACCCTTTACTGTTTTACCATCAAGCATGTCTGGGACCATTAATTAAGTCATAAACTATGGCCTTTGCTGTGAATTCCAACTTAAGTTGGGGGAATTTTTCCTATTAGTATATTCTAGGTTTCCTACCCACTAATGGAGATGGAGGCTGTATGAAGAGCTACAGTGAAAAATATGTTTGCTAACTGCAGGTGAAGCCAAAACAGCAAGTGATGCAACTGCAAACTGATCCAAACAAAGTGAAAAGATTAACATACCGGTTAAAAGGCATGCATTCTATTAGACGCAGATTAAAACATTGTACCCAATATTTTCAAAGCTCTGTTAATAGCCTTCCACAGAAAAACAAAACAAAACAAAAAACATGGTATCTGCCGTTTACCCGAGGAAAGTTTTACTCCCAACTTATGATTGTGGAGTTCTCTACTCCAGGATTTGGAATGTGATAGCCGACAACTTTGGACCAGTAGACTGAAGACTGTTACGGTGCTGGTTGTGCATAATGGGATGAAATGCTAAACTGATGCTACTACAATTTACACTGGCCAGTGGGGTGGCCAGGACATAGCACAGTGTGGCCATGGCCACCCCTGCTCCTGGTGATCCCAATGACTGAAGGACACTACAATCTTCATGAGAAGACAAAAGGATTTTTGAGGTGGAAAGAATAAATACAAAAGTTGGTTTTGCCTCCAACAATTCATACTTTGTGAGAAGCTAAGCTGCAACATCAAAGAAAGTTCCATCTACTGTAGCTTATATCATATAGGCAAAAGAAAAAGCAAAGGCAGAGGGGGAATTTTATGGTACTTACTACTATCATTATTTAGAACACATCATACACTACTCAGAAAAATAAATGGAACACGTAAATAACACAGTACAACTTCAATTAACTTAAAACTCTGTGAAATCAAAATGTCCAATTAGGAAGCAACACTAATTGACAATCTTACATGCTGTTGTGGAAAAGGAATAGATAACAGGTGGGAATTATTGACAATTAGCAAGACACACTCAATAAAGGAGAGGTTTTCCATGTGGGGACCATAGACCGATTCTCAGTACCTATGCTTTATGGCTGATGTTTTGGTCACTTTTGAATGTTGGTAGTGCTTTAATACTCTTGGTAGCATGACACAGACTCTACAACCCACGCAAGTGGATCAGGTAGTGCATCTCATCAAGGATGGCACATCAATGCGAGCTGTGGCGGAAGGTTTCCTGTGTCTGTTGCCGTAGTGTCCAGAGGATGGTAGCGCTACCGGGAGATGGGCCAGTACATCAGAATATGCGGAGGAGACCGTACGAGGGCAAAAACCCAGATACAGGACCGTTACCTCTTCCTTTGTACAAGGAGGAACAGGAGGAGAACTGCCAGAGCCCTGCAAAAGGACCTCCAACAGAACACCAATGTACATGTGTCTGCATAAAGGGTTAGAAACCGACTCCATGAGGATGGTATGAGAGCCAGACATCAATAGATAGTTGTGCTCACAGCCAAACATCATGCAGGACACTAGTGTGAGTGTGTCAGCATTTTCTGCAAGATGAATGCACTGAAGCTATGGACTGGTCCGTCCTTTCCACAGACCGGTCCGTCCTTTCCACAGACCTTAATCTGATTAAACACATCTGGGACATCACGTCCACCAACATCACTACAGACTGTCGAGGAGTTGACAGATGCTTTAGTCAAGACCTGCGTGAATATCCATCAGGAGACCATCCATCTCATTGGAAGCATGCCCAGGCATTGTAAGGGAGGTCAATTTTGTCTGGTTTTAAGGACATTTCATCAAATTTGGATCAGCCTGTTGTTGTTTTTTTTCCACTTTAAATTGTGTATGACATGAAATCCAGGCCTCCATTGGTTAATAAATTGGAATTCCATTGATGATTTTTATGTGATTTTGTTTTCGGCACATTCATCTACAGAAATACCATAGAGAGTGTTCTGACCAGCTGTCACGCTGTGTGGTGCGGAGGCTGCAGTGCCTCAGACTGGAAGAAGGTGAGAAGAGTGATGAGAACATCAGCAGGGCTCTTCTCTTCCCTCCATAAAAGACATTTCATCCCAGCGCTGCGTGTCCCGTGCCCGTAACATCATCAATGACCCCTCACACCCTGACCATGGACTGTTGTCCCTGCTGCTCTCTGGGAAGAGTCTTTGCAGTACTCGATGCAGGTCCAGCAGATTTCCGAAACAGCTTCTTCCCCACCACCACCAGACAGCTGAACTGTTGTGAAAACTATTAATCATGTCACTGACTCTGCATCACACTGATAAAACCAATCCAAAATTCTGCATATTTGCACCATAAATATTTAATGCTCTGAACTTCCATATCAAACAACAAAAAACCGCCTGATCAGGTAAGTTTTAGCTAAGTTAACAGTGGTCTGTTAAAGGGAGCACTGGCTGCTGTACAGTGCCACTCTTGGTTGTGCAACCTATTCAGTCTGACACTCAAGCTACCACAGAGAGTTTATTGGGAAGAGCAACTGGCATGGAGCATCGATATGCACCAAGTGCTCCATATTGACCTAAAAAAAATAATTTAATATGTGTCATATTAAGATAACGCTTGGGTCAAGACATAAGCTTGGTTTATGTCTCAAGTGGAATCCCAAAATGATGTAAGTTGGCCATATGGACCTCAAAGACGCATCAAACTAGAATAACTTGTAACTATGCGGAAGAATCCGCATGGAAAACATGGCGAGCCTGCAGCAGCTCCTGCTGGCGATGGTTTGCAAATGTAAACATCTACAGAAATCCCGTAATTTGGCTCATAAATATCACTACTATCAAAACCTTGAGGAAAAACTGCTGGGAATAAATGACTGTCCCTCCTTAACTACATGAAGAGGCTTTTATAGTTTACAGTATATCATACTGTACCACGCTGGTGTGAACACAATCCAAGATCCTAAAATGGCCTCACAACCGTACCCTGACACAGTTACAACAGTCGGTATGTTTTTTCTGGATCTTGGAAAGATAAATGCCTGCTGCGACGGTGTGCTAAAAGCAGGATGTGACTTAAGAAGAGTGCTTTTAAGGAAAAAAACCCGAAATCCCTGTCAGTTGTTGTAAAAGGCTGTTTGCACAGAGCCTGGATTTGGTCAAGCTTTGCTCAGTGTGAGGGACTGCTGCAAAGTTAACGACACAATGTGACTGTCCACTGCTGCTGCAAGGAGAGAATTTCGCAAGTCAATTATTTGATGAGATCTGCAATGCTTCTTTAGACAGAAAACCTTTTAATAATCTGTTTGTATGATTTGATAGTAATGACTATTTACACAATATAAATGAACATATTTGATTTTAAAAGCAAATCAGAAGCTTAAATATGAAAATATCTTATATAGCCACCTGTAGTATTAAAGAGCTGCAAGCTTCTTACTTCATTTTAACACCAAAGTAGCAACAGAATTCAGATTAGATGAACTTTCTTATCTGTGTTTTTTTTTCTTTATTAAGTAGCAACCATTCAAAATCCCCCTTCCGAGTCAAACGGCAGCCAAATGGCAGCCTACTCTCCTGTAATTCCCAGCAAAACCCCTCCAACTCCCAGCCTTTGGCCTTCTCCTGGGCATATTTTTTTTTTACTCTGACTCCACCCTTTCACTGAATTATAGGGTCTGACCAGTAGATGATGCTTCTATCTTAAAGTCGTAGGGAAGCGGCTGTTCCAACTGTTGCATTTCTGAATTCTCCCAAGTGGAGCCCGACTTTACACGAGTGAATAAAGTGAATGTGATTGGTCGATTATCAAGGGGGAGGGATTGTTGTGGTGTAAGGTTAGCAAGAAAGTTTGGTTGTGGTCGTGTCGAAAGCATCTTGCTAACCAGTTAGCAACTAGTAGGTTCCCAATGGGAAATTACATTGTGACCAAGTAGCACTGATCAACAACACTGTCCAGGAACGCTATGGACAGCAGAAACATGCAAGAGGAGAAGAGTTTTGTGTCGGAGGTCGTGGATGAGTCTCCTCCATCATAAATTTTTTATTTAAAGGAGGAAAGCGGGGACGGAGATGTGGAAGAGGACGCCAGGGCGGCAGAAGCTTGGTTTGGTGTAGAAGGCTTACAGCCGTACATGTTTGAGCCCTTGCCTCGCAACGCTGCCAGTTCTGTTAGCTCTACGCCTGCCGAAGACACAGACGTCCATCCCCGTGAACACTGGGATGGAACTCAATGGGAAAGGAAATGATTCTTATATGATTCTTCCGTTGCATATTTTAGTTGCGAAATATGAATCAAGATGCTATGACCGAAAAAATTTGATTAACAGATGACCGTTGATATATGATTGGCCGAATTTAGGTGTTCAGGCTCACGTATAACTAACTGGCCTGCAGAAGATAACGAAAAAAACCCAAAAGATTTTAAGACAGGATTTTTTTTTTTTTTTGGACAATATAGTCTGATAAAGAGCACATTTATATACATGTTTAAGCCAGAATGATTTGACATTTAAATATGACTTACCTATGACTTTAATGTACGCCAATTGTGACAGAAAGAATAATATAGTACAAAGCTTGAAGTTTAAAAATAAACTGTAGAGGACCAACCAAAGACCAGTCAAGGGCCAGCCAAGGGCCCATCAAGGAAAGTGGGGAAATTTTGAATAGCTACTATTGTAGGCGCTATACTGAAGCCAAATTGCTGCTAGAACATATCGGGTTAAATATGAAATTATTTGGTCCAGTTTAAATAAATTGTTTGAAAGAAATTGGCCAAGAGAAAGTGTGGATTTCTCACTTAAACAAAAAACAGCTTAGTTCAATATTCAGAAAGAGCTAAGCTATCAATGTACTGATTCCTGCTCAGTTGCTCACAATGAAATTCATCAGACATTTTGTTTGTGTATCTTTAAGAATAGGCCCCCCACCTAAACAAAAAAATAAATAAATAAAATCACATATTAACAGGGAATTAACATTGAAGCATCCTTACCGTCATTCTTCCTCCACATGTCTCTGGCAAACTTGTCAGTGGAAGTCAAGTCTGATATTTGGATGTTTGGATTTGACTTGTAGTCATCTTAAGGAAACGAAAAATACAAATCAAACGATTTATCTGACAGCACAGCACCATAAAGGAGTGCAAAAGGTCCAACTTACTGTTGTTGCTGGAAGGAAAGGATCCACTGCCGATCATGGTTCCGTGCCCACTGTCCGACAGCGTCCTCTCCATCATGGGAATGGGGGGCCTCCTTTTACTCTTTCGGGTGCTGATGCGGATGATGCCCCGCACCAGCCGGCACTCTGCTTCCTGCTCATCCATTTTGTGCTCCTCTGCCACAGAGTTGATGAGCTGTGCGATGGCTTTGCTCTTCCTCAGAAACACTGAGTCGGAGGTGCACCTGGCCAACTCTTCGATTTGATATTCAGAGTAGAGCTCCAGGAGCTTCTTGGTGATCAGTGAGTCCACGTTCTCTTCACCGTCCTCCCAGTCTTCAAATGTCAAGGACTCATGCAAAGAGGCAAACCCTGTATGAGTCTGAGAAGGTAAGGATGGATATGGAGATTTGCTATCAAGGTCTAAACATTCTTTCGGGCTGAATACTGGGACTCCATTAATGTGAAAGTCTGTCAGTTCGATGTCAGAATCTTCTTTGTGGTCCTCTGGTTTGACGTCTTGGAGGCTTGTCTTTTCCGCCTCCTTTGGGGAGCTCTCATTTGGCGCCAAGCATGGAGAAAGAATGGAGCACTGGCAGACCCTGTACAGTCCACATGTGATTACAGTGCACAAAAAACTTTTACAGGTCTTCAGGGAAGAGCAGGGATTACAGCTTGTTGCTGAAGAAGAGGGCTCGGCTGCACCAGGCACAAATCTGACAGTCTCTGACTCATTGGCGTTAGCATCTTTAAGGCGCCCTTTGTGGCTGCCCTTTGGCTGTCTGGTTGGCTGCCTGTCCTCCACTGGGTCCACGCAGCGCTCCTCTGTAAATGACACTTGCCTGCTGCCCCCTTGCCTCTCGCTGCGTCTCAGACTTTCACTGTTTCCAACCGACATGATTTATTAGCTGCAAGAAAGCAAAGAAAAACGATGCAAAAAGAGTTATTTGAACCTTAAGAAAACACATTTTTTCACATACAGAGCAGAAAGTTTTCACAGCCCTGTACCTTCTCCTAATTCCCAGAGAGTAAAAAAAAAACAATCCACTCGACTTTGTTTCCAAGTTTGAAGACGTTTCGCTTCCCATCCAAGAAGCTTTTTCAGGTTAAAATATTGAAATAGCGTTGGGTTTGAGGCTTTATAGAGTGGTCCAAACACAGCCTTGTTTTGGCTTAGAAACCTGACGAGCAGGTCTGCCTCTTTGGAACAGGGGTCGTTTTGTTACTCAAAACAGTCCATGGGTCCCCTCGTTAGAGCACTCTGTAGCAGGTTTTTCTCCAGAATATGTCTAAACATCTCTGCATCCCTTATGCATTTCATGCTGACTAATCTGCCGGTTCCCTGTTGATAAAAATAATCCCAAAGGCATGATGTAATCACCTCCATGCTTCATTGTAAGGAGAGTAATTGACCTTGTGATGAGGGGTTTTCTGGTTTCCTTCAAACATGACAAATTTTATACAGGCTGTCATGTGCCTTCCCGTACTGACTTGCATCTGGGTGCAGAACCATAAAGGAGTCTATTGTTTTATTATTTGTTAGTTGAACCTTTATGTTCTCTCTGCTTATTTTTTTTTTTACATCACAGTAGCTTCATCTGGTCTGGTTCGTTGTTTAGTTGTGAAATTAATGGATATATACTTGTGTTATAGATGGAAGAGTTAGGAATATTTTTCAGTGTTTAGTCCTGTTTCCTCTCCAAAACATAGCTGCAAGCTCAGTTTTTACTGCTGCTAATGCTACGTTCAGACTAGAGACTGACACAGGAGTGGATTTTCACTCCTGTCCCGTCCCACTCCCACAGAAAAAAATGGTGTCCCGTCCCGATCCCGGGCCAGAGTAGAAATCTAAATCCTGTCCCGTCCCACTCCTGGTGAAATTACTCCCACTCCCATCCCGCTCCCATTCAGAATGACTCCCGCTCCTGCACCACTCCCATTCTTGTTGTTTTTGAGCGCGGGTGAAAAACTCAGAGCGGAAGTTACTATTGGTTTGCTCCCGCTCCCGTCTGCTCCCGTTAATGTTTAATCCTGTACCGTCCCAATCCCGTGATCGTTACTAATACTGACTCCCATCCCACGGGAATCCCACGGCAATCCCGTGACCCATGGGATTCCCGAAAAAATGTCAGTCTCTAGTTCAGACCGCTTGCAGCAGGAGCAGCACAAATGAGCATGCTGCTTCATTTTTTATGCTTGTACAAGTTTAGTTCTGACACGCAGCTGAAGCATCTTTGCTGCTCCAGCTTCAGCAGCCTGTAACATTGGCAGCTATATATGCTGTGATCAGAAAAGTAGCTTTAATATGTTTTAAATAAGAGAGTCACCCAGAAAACTTCATCTGTGCAGTCACTTCGTCAAGATTACATTCCTTCCTTCGATTATTGTTTCGCTGTCGGAGCCGCTCAGACTTCCAAACACCGGCGGAGCTCTGTGACTGGGAATCCTGTTCAGCAGCAGCCTTTGGCCCAGTCGTCAGAGGCTAATGTTCACCAATGTTAATGAAAGCGAATATGTTTTACCGGCAGGTCTCGTCATTTTAAGTTAATTAAGGCGTTTCAGGAGAGTGATCATAGCGCTCTGCATCAGCAGTGCTGCTTTTGCAGTGCGTCATGCGTTTCAGATGCTCAGAAGCTCAAGAGGCAATGCTTCAGCTGCTCAAAAAGTGCTGATGGACCTTTTGCTGCAACTTTTGCTGCACCTTGATGCGCGTTTACATTGACTTTGCATGTAAACTAGCAGTATTTGATCCTTCAGCCGCGTGTCGTGTGAATGTAGCATAACTGTACATGCTCTCTATCATCCCTTCTGACATGAAACCTGTCTCAGAGCTCATCTACATAACTTATTCTTTCCTAGACAGACCCACCTATGGAGCTAGTTTAGCCGTACCTTTTCTAACATAGAGAGGTATGATGGATCAGTGCTTCTATGTTCCTCTTGTGCTCCTGTCTTCTCGCACGCTCACACTTAGCCTGGTTCTGCTGGATATTTCTTCCTTTTAGAAGGGAGTTTTTCTTCTCCACTGTTGCAGTGAGCATTTGCGACGTGAGGGATTGCTGTAGAGTTAATAACACAATGAAATAAAAATTTCTACTGTTACCAAATGCTCATCCAGGAGGAGCAAATCCTGCAAAGTTAATGACTGGATGCAAAAAGATGAATTTTCTTTGACAGAAAGCTTTGAACCAATGTGACTGAATGATCTGATTAAATTGTCTCTGTAAAGTGTTTTGAAATAACATGTGTTGTGAATAGGTGCTATATAAATACATATAATTTAATTGAATTCTTAGTTTTCTATTTTTAGTAAATTAAAAAAATTCTTACTACGTTTTATTACAGTGTTATAAAATAATAGGGTTTTTGTGTAGAACGGTGAAGAAAGATATTAATTCTATACCATTTGTAGCAAGGCTGAGACCTAATTAAATGTCACTAAAAATACTTTTCGGCTGTAGTAGCTTTCTATCAGGTAGAATCTCGAATCACTTTAAAGCGCATGAGGGCATCTTCCTTTTGAAAAAAGAAAACAAAGGAAACTACTCTTACATGCAGGCATCGGGTAATGTGGCCTGACAGGTTTCATAGTGCTGAAACCTGGTCTGAGACAATAACCCATTCATTCATCAGATTACCTGTGTGATGTCATGGGAGTATTCCCAAATGATAAACAACTCAATTCGGTCACAACTGAAAACTCATCTCAGTGTTTCATCACAATTGTTGAAAAACATTAAGGGAAACCCCCAATTCTAGAGTGTTTTAAATTATAGAGTAATATTAGAGAATGAGTCTAAACATTAACTGAGCTGTATTAACAATGATATTACTACTATTAATACTACTTATTATAATATATTGTTATTTATTAATGTTCTTATTGTTATCATTGAAATCAGGGGCGATTTACCTTTAGGCAATACTAGGCAGTTGCCCCATAAAACTCTGTTTACATTTATAGTTAATACAACTATTCCTTATTAGCACATTAATTATGATTATTATTAATTATTATCAATTCAATTCTATTCTATTCTATTCTATTAAAATGTCTGTATCAGTATATTGGGTCTGTTTTATGTGTTGTCTTCTTTATTCAGAGGGCCCCCTGCCTGTCTTTGCCTAGGGCCCCAAATTTCCTAAATCCGCCCCTGATAATAATCATGGTTTCCCAAATGGATTATCAATCATAAGACTACATGTGCTATTAGTACACTGTTTAATGTTGGTAATAATATATTAAGAGCTGCATTACAACAATAACTTCTTTTAATCATACTAATAATGTAAAATAGTAATGTTGCTATTTATTTAAGACTATCAGCACTACAAATAATAAAAACACCACTGTTAAAATACAAATTAAACATCTACAATTAATCTTGTTATGTGGAATAAAATTAACCACAACAAATAAACAATTTTTTCACTTTTTATAATTAAACTGCATCATAATAAAGACTTTGTAAGGTTGAATACCAATAGGAAAAAAAGTAATGTTACTGATAGCATTATCTACATAAAAAAACTTGTAATAATGGTAATATTCAAAGAATTATATCTTTATGTTTAGATGTGATTATCATTATTTATAACATAAATAAATGTTAAAAATCAGGTGTGTTGGTCACGGGTGATTCTAGAAAGGGGCCAATGGGGGCCAGTGCCCCCTGTAGATCATATCCTGGCCCCTGTTATGGCCCCTATACTGAAGACATAATACTCAAAGAAATTCTAATGATGATATGCGCTGGAACAGACATGGTTACTGATAGGTCATTTGGATCTATTCATTTTTTTTCTTTACAAATTCTGTTTTACGGTGGTAGCTTAATTGGTGTTGACACAGGATCCCGGTTTTCATCTGCTAAATTTTTAACTTTCAAAACAAATAAAAATAAAACTCTAATTTTGACTTACATTAAGTTAATAATATGTAAAATTCCTAAATGAAGGATGTATATTGACCTAATAAGAAATAGGGTTTTAATTAAATCTAACTGAATAGAAATGTCACTTTAATCAGCTATCTTAATACTACGATGGAGTATTAGGGTCAGGCTAGATATTTTTTTCCCTTCTATTTCAAGAATAAAGTCGTAAAATTGCGAGAATAAAGTCGCAACAAGAATAGTAAAAAAAATTACAAGAATAAAGTCATAAAATCACGAGAATAAAGTCGTTAAATTTTGAGAATAAAGTCATAACAATACGAGAATAAAGTCAAAAAATTATGACGATAAAGTCATAGCATTATGATGGTAAAGTTGTAAAATTACGAGAATAAAGTTGTAATATTACAAGAATAAAGTTGTAATATTACAAGAAAAAAGTCACAATGAGAATAGTCCTAAAATTACAAGAAACATGTTTTTATGACAACTCCTACAAGAAGCGCTTTCTTCACTAAAATGAGGAATGTGGAGCATCATATGAACTTATAAGGAAATCTTTTAGCACAACAGCAACATATTGGGCAGCATGACAAAGTGGACTCAGGTTGCTGTTTGGTGGCGCTGGTCGGCCGTCATCTGCTGGTCGGAGCTCAGAGCTTTCTTTCTGAAACGGAGAGTGGTATGATAACTTCATTCTCTTAAAATTACAACTTTATTCTCGTAATATTACTTTATTCTTGTAATGTTACAACTTTATTTTCGTGATTTTACGATTTTATTATCATAATGTTATAAATTTTATTCTCGTAATATTACAACTTTATTCTTGTAATGTTAAAACTTTATTCTCTTAATGTAACGAGTTTATCCTCGTAATGCTATGACTTTATTCTCCTAATATTACAACTTTATTCTCGTAATGTTATGACTTTATTCTCGTAATTTTAAAACTTTTTCTTGTAATCTTATTACTTTATTTTCGTAATTTTACGAATTTATTCTCATAATGTTACGACTTTATCCTCATAATGTTTCAGCTGTATTCTTGTAATGTTAAAACTTTATTTTCGTAATTTTACAAGTTTATTCTCGTGATGTTATGAATTTATTCTCGTAATATTAAAATTTTATTCTTGGAATTTTGTTACTTTATTTTCGTAATTTTATGACTTTATTCTCGTAATGTTACAACTTTATCCTCGTAATGTTACAACTTTATTCTTGTAATGTTACAACTTTATTTTTGTAATGTTATGAATTTATTCTCGTAATGTTAAAACTTTATTCTTTTTATGTTACAACTTTATTTTCTTAATTTTATGACTTTATTCTCGCAAAGATATGAATTTATTCTTGTAATGTTACGACTTAATTTTCGTAATTTTACGACCTTATGACTTTGAACCCCTTGCCCTGATTTTCATTTCATGCTTTTCTGTGCCCCCATGAAAACACGCTGGCCCCCTCCTGGCTCCATCTGGCCCCCTGGTAACCGCCCCTGGTGTTGTAGTGAATAAGGTAACCTGTCTGTAAACCGCCTGAGTTTGTTGCGCTGTTGTTGCTTTTCTTTGCTGACGTTTTCCACAGAGACGGCTGTTTACAGGACACAACGCAACGTCACTTAAATCCTGGTCATTCAACGCAAACGGTCAGCTCTTTAACATTAATCGGTAATTCAGTTAGTCACACTTTAAAACACTGGACAGGTTTATTCATGGTCACCTGTTTCTGCCTGTTTAAATATCATTTTCACTTTCATGGCGTCACTGCGGCTCCTTCCTCCATTATCGGACAGACCAATTACTCACCTACAGTCAGAGACGTCCAGCCGACCCCCCCACCCTGATACCAAGGCTTTCTATCTGTTCTACAGGTAGATACAGGTGCTGGTCATAAAATTAGAATATCATGAAAAAGTAGATTGATTTCAGTAATTCCATTTAAAAAGTGAAACTTGTATATTATATTCATACATTACATACAAACTCAAATATTTCAGATGTTTATTTTGTTTAATTTTGATGATTACAAATGACAACAAATGAAAATCTCAAATTCATCATATCAGAAAATTAGAATATTACTGAAGACCAATAAAAACAAAGGATTTATAGAAATGTTGGCCAACTGAAAAGTATGTACAGCACTCAGTATTTAGTTGGGCCTCCTTTGGCCTGTATTACTGCAGCAATGCGGCGTGGCATGGAGTCGATCAGTCTGTGGCACTGCTCAGGTGTTATGATAGCCCAGGTTGCTCTAATAGTGGCTTTTAGCTCTTCTGAATTGTTGGGTCTGGTGTATTGCATCTTCTTTTCTATGGGGTTAAGGTCAGGAGAGTTTGCTGGCCAATTAAGAACAGGGATACCATGGTCCTTCAACCAGGTACTGGTAGCTTTGGCACTGTGTGCAGGTGCCAAGTCCTGTTGGAAAATGAAATCTGCATCTCCAAAAAGTTGGTCAGCTGCAGGAAGCATGAAGTGCTCTAAAACTTCCTGGTATGTGGCTGCGTTGACCCTGGACCTCAGAAAACACAATGGACCAACACCAGCAGATGACATGGCACCCCAAACCATCACTGACTGTGGAAACTTTACACTGGACTTCAAGCAACGTGGATGAAGTGCCTCTCTTCTTTTCCTCCAGACTCTGGGACCTTGATTTCCAAAGGAAATGCAAAATTTACTTTCATCAGAGAACATGACTTTGGACCACTCACCAGCAGTCCAGTCCTGTTTCTCTTTAGCCCAGGCAAGACGCTTCTGACGCTGTCTGTGGTTCAAGAGTGGCTTGACACAAGGAATGCGACAGCAGAAACCCATGTCTTTCATACGTCTGTGTGTGGTGGTTCTTGAAGCACTCACTCCAGCTGCAGTCCACTCTTTGTGAATCTCCCCCACATTTTTGAATGGGTTTTGTTTCACAATCCTCTCCAGGGTGCGGTTATCTCTCTTGCTTGTACACTTTTTTCGACCACATCTTTTCCTTCCCTTCGCCTCTCTATTAATGTGCTTGGACACTGAGCTCTGTGAACAGCCAGCCTCTTTAGCGATGACCTTTTGTGTCTTGCCCTCCTTGTGCAAGGTGTCGATGGTCGTCTTTTGGACAACTGTCAAGTCAGCAGTCTTCCCCATGATTGTGTAGCCTATAGAACTAGACTGAAAGACCATTTAAAGGCTTTTGCAGGTGGTTTGAGTTAATTAGCTGATTAGAGTGTGGCACCAGGGGCCATCAATTTTGAACCTTTTCACAATATTCTAATTTTCTGATATGATGAATTTGAGATTTTCATTTGTTGTCATTTGTAATCATCAAAATTAAACAAAATAAACATCTGAAATATATGAGTTTGTATGTAATGTATGAATATAATATACAAGTTTCACTTTTTAAATGGAATTACTGAAATCAATCTACTTTTTCATGATATTCTAATTTTATGACCAGCACCTGTAGAAAAGTGTAAATCCATGTCCAGCAAGCACTTAGGTCCCGCTCACTTCAATAGAAAAGGTTCCGGAAAGTTTTAGGGGAAAACCGTCTACCTGAGCGTCAAGGTACAGGAAGCGGACCAGGTAAGGTAAAGCCAGGCTGCACTTCCGGTTAGAGGGGTGTAAAAAATAAAACTCAGGTACAATGAACAACACATTAGATGTGTTATCATGCTTTTTCACTTATCAAAGCAACACATTTACATTCTTCAATTATTTAAAGGCGTTTAATTCTTTTTACGACAAAAGATACTGAAACCTGCCGCTCACATTGGAGTTTTATTTTGATAGACTTTGGGTGTTATTGCTTTTAATGACGAATATTTCCGCAAAGCAGTCGGAGAGTTATTATTAGGCTGTAGTTACACACAGAACACAGGCTGGGAAAAGCAACAACAATGCAACAACCAGTGATTGATTAACCCAGTTAATTGATAGAATTAATGAATGTGTCTGCGGAGAGCCATGTTTTTCTAATGTTTGGAACGAAAAACATTTAATATTTTTTTGTTTTTAGTTAACATTAAAAAAGGAAATATTTGAAAAGATTTTAAAACTTTTTAAATTTTGGAGTGAGGAGGCCCCTGCGTTAAACCTTCTATGACTCTGTAGGGGTGTAAATCACTCCCATCATGGCGATTCCTTTCAGGATCAATTTCCTGACCCGACGATTCGAATATTTTCGATACTCCAGAAGACATCACAATACGATTCGATTGATTGATTGGTAACTTTTTATTTTTTTTACCTTACAGGCTGTATGCATTATATTTTAGAAACAACAGCAAATAACAGAAGTAGCAAAGTTGTACTCCACCTGGGCCTATAAAAAACCTCATTCACTGAAAAATAATAACGCCTCTGTATTATAGATTCTGGAAGGCCTTGCATCAAAAGATACTGCAAGCGGAAAGAGGGTTGTGGCTAAAGGAAGCGAGGTAGGTGGGCAAAATAGGTTTAACTCCACCGCAGCACGGGAGTTAGAAATATGTCCAGGAGCAAATGGATAAAAATAGAACGAAGGGAAAAAAAACAGCCTTCCTCTACCCTGTCATCTGCTGGGTCCCTGGTACCACAGAGCGGGACAGAAAGAGACTGAATAAGCTGGTGAGAAAAGCTAGTTCTGTCCTGGGGTGCACTCTGGATTCAGTGGAGAAAGTATCTGAGAGGAAGGAGCTGTCCAAGCTTCCATCCATCATGGACAACACCTTCCAACCTCTGCACCGGCCTGTAGAGGAGCTGAGCAGCTCTTTTAGTAAAAAGGAGTGCTACCACAGGTCATTCATCCCTGCTGCAACCAGACTCTACAATGCGGCACTACAATGGCAATAAGTTGTGCAATGTATAATGTGTAATTACTATTTGATACCCTGAGCAATAAGCTGTTTCTCTATATTTGACATCTGCCATCTGGATTTACAATGCTACACCATAACTGCAATAAAAATAATTAATGTGCAATCACAATTTTTTTCCCTTTTTTTCTCTCTTTTTTGATACAATAAAACTTACAGACAACAAACTTAACCTTGTAACATGTACTTATACACACTTACATACACTCATGCATTCACAATTTAAACCTGCATTTGTTTTTTAAAGAACTTTGTAACTTTCAGAAACAACCTGATCTATTGATGCGTAGAACCACCTGCTACCAATTCTACACCACTTGTAAAGAACTTCAGCATAAAAACAGCACAAAAATAAAGAGCTATCTTGATTATTATTTATTATTCAAAAACAAACCAAAAAGAAAACAGGAGAGCCTTGATTCTCCTCAAACTGTAAAAAGTTTAATGTTGAATCTATTACCACAAAGAAACTACAACTCTGATTTGAGAATGTATCTGAACAACCTGGCCACATGGCAACAACGAATGCCTTAATAAAATGAATAAACTATCAATAATATCTGCCCCGAGTTTCTCACATTTGGGGAATGTCATGCTAATCTCTAGATAGATAGATCGGTTAATCCACAATGTGTATTCATATTGTTTCACATTTGAGGCGCACACGTTTGACGTGTTTTTAAAGAAGATAAAAATCAGCTTTGGACAAAGTTTTGTTTAAATTAAGCAAAGCTGTTTGCCTTTGGGTTCACTAAACATGCCTACTATCTTCCTCTAGTTTTATTTTAACATTCATCTTTAATTATCCTCCCATATTTGTTTTTTTTTTCTTTGTATGGCTCAGTGTTGATGTTTACTGTCTGCTCTGCTGCTTAACTCCCAGATTGTCTATAAGGTCAATAAAATCAGAAGAACTGTAGGAGGAACGTCTCACTTTCCTTTTTTAGAGCTAATTTGTTTTGACACTGCAAGGTGACAAGAACAATTGTTCTGTTAACATGAGCTGTCAGGTCAGACCCCCCAAAAGAGATACAATAATAACCACCAATCTGCCAAAACGCTGTACTATAGTAATATTAGAATACTTTCTCAAGTTGACTTCAGTTTTAAAACATTTACAAATTTACAACCACTTATTTCAAGACAATTTACAAAAAAAAAGACAAAAAGATCCTGTTCACATGACTTGAATCAAACCTTTATTATAGTGAGAAATAACAGGAGAAGATAGAACGACAGGAAACATACAGTACTTCAACAGAACCAGACCCAGTAGGGGGATTTATTATAATACAGTCTTATAAAATAGAAACAAGTCCCAACAAATGTCATCTAAAGGCAATTAACATGACAGCTTTAATACAGAAACATGTAACAGAATTCAACACAAACAGAATCAAATTGAAAAACAAACATCCAGTCCAGTCCAATCCTATTTACAACATGGGGAAGATAAATTCAGCTTATTATGGTGTTTAGAGAAATGTCTTCAGTCCAAGGAAGCTCAGCCAATCACATCCAGTCGTTAATTTTGCAGCAGTCCCTCCTGAGCAATGAAGTGGTCACAGTAGAGAGGAAAACTAGCTTCAAACAGGAAGGAACCTCCATGTCAGCGCCCATCTACTGACGTCCAACAGACACAGAGGCGCCGGTCCAAGGAACAGATGACCTCATCTGGAAAAGAAGAACAGGAGTTAGTGAAAAGGGGAACGCTGTTTTTTTTTTTATATTGGGCCCTTGATTTGACTTTATTACATCATGCTCTACTCACGCATATGAGTTTTGTGTCATTTGGAGTTCTTCTGAAGATATTCTGTTAGGTTATATCCAAGTAACGTCTTCCTATGGGCAGTCGACTTGAAGGCACAAACTAAACTGTTCATAATTTATTCTTTATGGTACGCCAGCATTCATAACATGTAGGCTAGTCACTTTCCCCCAGAAATCCGAGGTTATATTTTTTATATTTATATCTTTTAAAAACAAAGCGGTACGTGTATGACGTCATCCGCACGTCGGACTGGAGTTGTGACAGGCAGTCCGGGCCACAGGCGGCTACGCTCTACCCCTTATATTCATTCCGCTAGCTAATCTGAATCTTTCGATTCCATTTCCAGAGCAAGATCATCTGTGGTAGCAGCACTAGACATCTTCCAGGCATGTGAGTAAAACTAGCAGCAGTTCAGCGGACAAGAAGAATGAATGTAGCCGGCGCGCGCGGATGACGTCATACACACGTCATACACGTCATACTTGGATATAACCTAACAGAATATCTTCAGAACGGCTCCAAATGACACAAAACTCATATGGGTAGACCATGATGTAATAACGTAAAATCAAGGGCCCAATGTAAAAAAAACGCCGTTCCACTTTAATCAATAAGAACATTAATCTGTGAGCTAAAACAACTCAACAAAAAAACATAAACAATGCTAGTGGTTTGGTTAGTGTTAAGATAAAAAAATACTATTGTAAAAGATCCTATACATACAAAAATACATTGAGACAAACGTTTATATATAAGACAAATGTGTATATGATTGTGTTCTCCTGTCTCTGCATCAGCCTGAGGACCATTTTTCTGACTTCACCATCACATTGAGGACTGATTGTTGTAAAGGGGGACATTTTGCTGGTCCTCACATGCTATCTTGCTGACAAGTAAGTTTAGAACAAAAAAAACTACAATATCCTTTAAATTACAAGACTACCATGAAATTGAAAGTTTATTTTAAATCTAAATGTTGATTTCACTGTTAAATAGGGCTTAGAATTTTATTTTCAGAAAGTTATCAATACAAAAAATAACTAGCTCTAAATGGTCCTTTTATTTAGTTAATTCTACCACATCCCCTGCAATTAAACTGTGCTCCCACTAGGGGGCACACACCCCCACTTTGGGAACTATGACATTAGGTTTAGTTCAGATTAAAAGACATTTTAAGCTGTCAGTAAAAGATATTACTGACAACCAAATTAGAAATAGTTTCAATCTATTAGATATATTTCTTTATCGGAAAAAATAAGGTTTCATTGGCTGATTTGGTAACATAATCATCAATCTTTGAAGTTTATTCACTATAAGCAGAAAATTATCCTAATTAACAGAAATAAAGGCTTGATAACATCAAGGTTTAAATTTCAGATCTATAATTTCTCAGAACCAGAAAATCAAGGGGCCACTTGAAAAAAAACGGCGTTCTCCTTTAACAGACGTAATAACTGAAGACAATGGATGCTTGGAGAAAATGCCTGGAAATGCTGCAAGTCTTCAGTCGGTCGTTTCTCTCCTTTAATACGTTCTAAAAAAAAAAACCTTCAGAGATCAACCAGGGGGAAATTCTTCCATATTGGATCAGAAGCTGCTTCTTAACTGTTTATCTGTGGTCTAATGGAAAAGTCAGAACTTCTGATTCTGGTAAAGGTTTGGTTACAGAGAGACAAATAGAGGTGAACATCCATTCATGATGGAAAGATAAAGATTAAAGGTTACAACCCCTAATGGGATGGTTGTAGCATTTGTATCTGTTTGTTCTGGATCTGTTTTTAGTATCTTCACTAATACTGATGAACATCTGGATGCAATAAAGGTACGTTACCTTCTTCTACTGGGTGGAGCAGACTGATGGTTTAGCTGCGGGGTCGTCAACGTTGTTTTACTCCAGGACTCCAGAATGTTAAAGAGAAATATAGGAGCCATGTCTCTCCTCCTTAGCGGTCTGTGTGCTTCATCCTCTTCTTCAACTCCTTCATCAATGAAAGCAAAGTGTCCTCAGAGTCTGTCTGCATGTGATGTCTCTCTAGTCAAACAACAAGCAACATACCTCCAAACACGTGTGGATGGACTCTGTTCCGATGTGATCCGACTGCTAGAACACTGCTTCCATGTTCAACCTGCTTTCCCTGTAAAAAAATAAGACAAATTAATCTACAGAATTTCCTCGACACCAAGTTGAAATCTGGGGCAGGATGTTGTTTTCATCATAATCTTAGTCTGTCTGTGTTTCAATGACTGTTAGCTTTTGATCAGGCCTGGGAAGCTTGAGTTGTGGGTTTGTCGTGTTAATAAAGTCTTACTCCGTGTGTTTTCTGTTCCAGTCTTTCTCTGTGCCGTCCTCAGGTGGGGACTGGGAAGCTCCTCACCGTCCTGGATGTCCCGGTTCCTCACAGGAGTTCTGCTTTTGGACGTCCACAGTGTCTGAAATTAACATGAAAAACTAAGTGAGGCCATCTGAAATGTTGACTTTATAATTAAATGATGGATTATTGTTGCTCCTTACTGAATATGCTCTCACTCTTTGTGAAGGTCGGCAGCCCAGATGATCCTCCGCTGGTTTGGTCGCTGCAGATCTCATCAGCATCTTCTGATGGCCCAAAGCTTGGAGAGGCTCGCTCCAACATGGGATTCAAAAAACACAGAAGAGATCCACTGCGGTCAGGACAGGCCTTGATCATATGGAGAATATTTCTGCAGAGGGTTCTTTTCCCTCCAACTAGGCCTGAAAACTAACTGACCAGAGGAACATCTAGAACTAGACCAAGTCACATCGGAAAGCTGTTTCTAACAGTCGGTGCCACTCACAACCAAAACCACTACATGAGTCCTGTCCTCTGCCTCAAACTTGACTAAATCAGTTAGCCCCACCTAGCGTCATCTCTCTACCTTCTCTCCAACATCCCAGAGACCAGTTCAACTGATGATCACCACAAGCTGTGTCACTGTCCATTGTATCCAATTTGTCCCCAGCAGCATCGTCCTACTCTAGATCAGGCTTTCAAACTTCACTCCACCAGAGCTGCTATGCTGCAGTTTTTATTCACATCTCTTCTCCATCAGACCTGAATCAAAGGGCTGAATTCCCTCATCAGTCATTCAGCTCTGCAGAGGTCTGGTAAAAGGCTGTTTGTTTGATCCTGGTGTGTTGGAGGAGAGATGCATCTGAAAACTGCAGAAACACTGCTGTAAAGGACTGGAGTGAGAAACCTCTGCTCTAGACAGCTTCTAATCAACCTCCACTACAGCCTTTTCTCTCTGCCTCAACTCAACTCCACGTTGTCCTCAGCAGCGATGTCCAGCTGTTTCGTTGGATTGGTTTGCCTCCTTGTGGTTTTCAACCAAGATTAATTTTTTGTCTTCTGGTGTTTTTATTTGTTTTTTGTTATCTTGCCTCCACTCTGTGTTTCACCTTGTTGAACATTCTTCTTGTTCTTCTATCAATCCTTTGTTTGTGTTGTCTTCTGTTAGCTGGCAGACTGTCCAGCTTTGATATTAGATGTAGAACATTCTAGATTATTTCTGCCTTAACCAGCTATCATGTACCAAACTATGTTGTCATGTGCTCAGATGTCTGTGCTAAAGAAAATTCTTAACATCTAAACTATCTAGCAGCGGGGAAAAGAAAAGCCACGGTGCAAGACGCTACCTAAGGCATCCCTAGACCTGCCAGACACCCTAACATCTTAAAAAAACCTAAATCTAGCAGCGGGGTAAAGAAAAGCCACGGTGCAAGACGCTACCTAAGGCATCCCTAGACCTGCCAGACTCCTTAACATCTAAAAAAACCTAAATCTAGCAGCGGGGAAAAGAAAAGCCACGGTGCAAGACGCTACCTAAGGCATCCCTAGACCTGCCAGACTCCTTAACATCTAAAAAAACCTAAATCTAGCAGCGGGGTAAAGAAAAGCCACGGTGCAAGACGCTACCTAAGGCATCCCTAGACCTGCCAGATATGAAAACAATCACTAAATTAAACTCCTCTTCTTAAACATCCCTCTCGAGACGAGGCCTCTTCCCAGGGCGCTCCTCTTCATCGTCTTCCTCTCTTCTCCTCTTCCTGGAGACGCGGTCTTCTGGGCGCTCCAGGGACTCCTCTTGCTCCTCGTGGTTCCATGGAAGGCTGAAGTCGGGGGGAATCCTCTGGGTGAACTGAAGATGTGGTGGAAGGTGGCCATCGTCTTCATTGTGATCTTCTTCCTCAGAGCTTGTGTCAGGAGACTCACCAAAACTTGCCCTAACATTATCAGCATTAGCATCAACCTCCTCCTCCTCATTCCGCTCCGCCAGTATTGCTTCTAAGTCTCTACGATTTAGCCCCAACTCTGCGACTACGAGGTCTACCTCCTCGCCATGCTCCAGCACAAACTCTATGGCTACGTAGTGACGGTTTTCCCCATCATACCCTATATTCACCACTAGTTCTCTGACTTCCACCTCCTCATTATCATCCGCATTGTCAATGATATTAGACTGATTTAAATTACCCTCATCCTCTATCAAGAGCTGGGGCTCCGGGTCAGGATCAACTGGAAGCGCGGCGTCTGGAACTGTTAGGAAAAAAATCGTTGGACCAGGAACATTAATTAAGGAACATTCATTGAAAAGAAATAAATGCTTTATTTTAGGTTGCTGGATGTGCCTGTGTTAGTTTGTCAGGTTTAAGTAGATTTAATCTATAAGAACATCAATCTGTGACCTCACCATCTACTTTGCTGTTGATTAAGAAAAAAAACCTACAATATCCTTTAAATCACAAGACTACCATGAAATTGTAAGTTTTTTTTTATATCTACCAGTAAATGTTCATTTCACTGTTAAATAGAGCTTAAAATTTTAATTTCAGAAATTTATAAATACAAAAATAATAATTAGCTCTAAATGGGCCATTTATTTAGTTTATTTCTACCACATCCCCTGCAATTAAACTAAGCTCCCACTAGGGGGCACACATCCCCACATTGGGAACAAAGACATTAAAGGAATAGTACACCCAAAACATGATTAGCCTTCATTTTCTACTCACCCCCATGCTGAACAACACTCTGGAGTACTTTTTTGATATCTCAAATGCATCTGGAGATCTGGGAGGCTTCTTGCTGTCTGCTGACATTCAAATAATGGAGGTCTATGGTGACCGAGACAGAAAGGTCCATAAAAGTAAAAAAAAAACGTGTCAATATTCCTCCATACTGCTCGTCCAATGTATTCCAAGTGTCCTGAGTGGGTAGCATCCAGAATTTACTCGAAACGAAGTCATTTAGAATGTTTTTAGAGCATAAACAGTAGTGTATAGGATTTCCTGAAAGCGCGCACACGCGCGCTCACGACGCTACGGAAGCCGGCAGACCAAACCAGATGAAAGTACGCATTCAGCGTCTGCTCTGCCAATAATGCAAGCGTAGAAGAAGAAATGTGCTGTTTACCTGTGCAAAGAAAGAAAAAACGAAAGAAAAATATCTGAGGACTTCAGTGTTGAGGAAGAGCAGGAGTTCTTTGCCGAGCTGAATGCGCTGGTTTGGTCTGCCGGCTTCCGTAGCGTCGTGAGCGCGCGTTTGCGCGCTTTCAGGAAATCCTATGCACTACTGTTTATGCTCTAAAAACATTCTAAATGACTTCGTTTCGAGTAAATTCTGGATGCTACCCACTCAGGACACTTGGAATACATTGGACGAGCAGTATGGAGGAATATTGACACGTTTTTTGTGGACTTTTATGGACCTTTCTGTCTCGGTCACCATAGACCTCCATTATTTGAATGTCAGCAGACAGCAAGAAGCCTCCCAGATCTCCAGATGCATTTTAGATATCAAAAAAGTACTCCAGAGTGTTGTTCAGCATGGGGGTGAGTAGAAAATGAAGGCTAATCATGTTTTGGGTGTACTATTCCTTTAAGATGAATTAAGATTAAAGGACATTTTAAGCTGTCATTAAAAATTGTTTTCATTAAACACATACTACCAAATTAGAAATAGTTTCGATCTATAAGATAAATTTCTTTATAAGAAAAAAAAAGGGTCATTGGCTGATTTGGTAACATAATCATCAATCTTTGAAGTTATTTTACTATAAGCAGAAAATTATCCTAATTAACAGAAATAAAGGCTTGATAACATCAAGGTTTAAATTTCAGATCTATAATTTCTCAGAACCAGATTCTCAGCTTATCAGACCCCCTCTTCAGTGCATCCTAGAGTAAAAATAAAAAACTTTTAAAATCAACCATATTTTAACACCTTTGACCATCATTTAAAGTTAAAAATATATGCTATCTTAAAAACTCCTAAAGTTATTTAATGCATTCTACTCAGGTATCCATGGAGACCAATTTGTTTACCACAGCATGGTTTAAAAAAGACCTTCCTTTTCAAGTTCAAATATATAAAAAAAATCCATTTTATCCTGAAATATTTTTTTTGGTATTTTTTCAACCATTTTCACATTAAATTAATCAAAGTTTATTCTCTCAAACCAAACTTTTTCTGTGTTTTACATTGCATTCCTCCCATTTCCAACCAATAAAAAGTAATCGAATACATAGTACGCCTTAAAAAATACTTCTTTTTTTAAAACACTGGTTAGAAACATATCATTTCCTAAACACATTTACTAAACTAAACAACTTGAGATTCTTCATCTCTTTTTTCTTCTTTTTTTTAGTTAAAATTCAGTTAACTTCCAAAATACGCTTTTATTCTCTTTTAATCTTTTATACTCTTTTATTAAATAGGAAAATTAACAGTTTGGCTTGATTATATTTTATGTTAAATGTCCTTCTAATGTCCTTTTATATTTATTTAATGTATTTTTACCAACATTTCCATACAGAGCAAATTTATTTCCAGGGCATTTTTTAAAAATAATAGACCTAGCTCCATCTAGTTTTCAAACATTTCACATAAAATTCAACAAAGATGTTTTTCTGAAACACAAATGTTTTTTTTTTTTCAAATAATTAAATCGCTGTTAACATTTCTGACAAATTCATTAAAAAAACACATTTAATCTCTGAGATGTCATGGATGCTAGATGCTAAGCTAGCTGTCACAACTTCATGAAAAAACATTAAAATAATAATATATATATTTTTTTATTTATATAGTAAAAGAGTGAAATAAACCTTCCAGATGATCTCTCCACAAGTTGTTGTCCTCTGGTGGCGTGCTCATCTTTAACAGTTTAGCAAATCACAGATTGCAGCAGTTCAAGCTTCCAGGTCCAGGTTAGAAATGATCCGTTAAAGATGGCTGCCACTTTTACAGGTGCTCCGTTTCCATAGCAGCGGTTGAGCGTGCGCACGCGCGCGTGCGTGAGAACAACTGAAAAACTTGCTAATTGCAGCTAATTCGCGAAAAACAAAGCATGTTTTTTGTGCAATAAAATAGTTTCATGCTCACCTAAAGGTGAGTTCAGTCAAAGCTGCATTTAATGAGGCAAAGGAGCGAGTTCTAAAGCTTACTGTCCGCTTTCTAAGTGTTTCTACTTTAAATATTGTGCAATAATTCTGAATTTAGAAAGAAATTTCAATCCGAATGAGAGAATTGTTTTTTTTTCCCAATCGTTATTCAGTTTTACATCCATGTACACACCTATTCAGACCTCTGGAGTAAAATAATCTCCACTGTATATGTCCAGTGGGGGACGAAGTACTCAACAGTAGTACTTGAGTAAAGTATTGATACTCGTTGTCTAATCTTATAGATTTTCTGGCTTGAAGAAGTCTTCCACGATTGTTTAAATTCTACTGGATATATTCATAGAACACAGATTTTAACCTCTAACTGGATTTTCACCTTAAGCAATTCAGATAGACACCTAATAACATCTCTTCCAAAACCTCTGGACTTTAAGACATTCCCGTAAACATTGGAGAAGACTTCCTTTTTCAGATAAACATTTATTGCAAGTATCTGGAATATCACTGGACATATGATGAAGCCTAACTGGTGTTATACAGGTTCTCATAAGCCATTTATATTACAGAAGTTTAAATCCTATGTTTATCGTTTGTTTTTGTGCTTTTAAACATGCCTTATTCCAGTCTTCTTAATCTATGCCTTCGAAAGTAGTGCAAAAACTACTTTATACCCTGTGCAATAACCTGTGCAATGACCATGTTAAAGAAGAGAGTTCAGTGGTCCAGAAAAGTGCAGTTCTAGGAACAGCAAAGATACTGCACAGAACCGTCAAGATCCCAGACCCTAGCTTGGAGGAAAAAAGGGTATATATATATACCTGTCATTTAAATCCCACATCAAAGAGGTTTCTAGAATTTCCTTCTTTCATCTGAGGAACATTGCAAAAATTAGAAATATCCTGTCCAGGGGTGATGCTGAGAAACTAGTCCATGCATTTGTTACTTCAAGGCTGGACTATTGTAATTCTTTACTATCAGGAAGTCCACAAACTGTAGTTAAAAGCCTTCAGCTGATCCAAAATGCTGCAGCCAGAGTTCTAATGAAAATTAAAAAGAGAGATCATATCTCGCCTGTCCTGGCTTCTCTTCATTGGCTTCCTGTTAAATCAAGAATAGAATTTAAAATCCTCCTTCTCACATATAAAGCCTTAAATGGCCAAGCTCCATCTTATATCAGAGATCTGATTGTTCCTTATGTTCCTAACAGAGCACTTCGCTCTCAATCTGCAGGTTTACTAGTGGTTCCTAGAATTTCTAAAAGTAGAATGGGAGGCAGATCTTTTAGTTATCAGGCTCCTCTCCTGTGGACCAACTACCAGTTTTAGTCCGTGAGGCAGACACCCTGTCTACTTTTAAGGCTAGGCTTAAAAACTTTCCTTTTTGATAAAGCTATAGTTAGAGTGGCTCAGGTTATCTTTGAGCTATAACTTATAGTTATGCGCTATAGGTGATTAGACTTTTATGAGGACATAGGGCCGATTTCTAATTACTGTCCTTTCTAAGTGTTCTCCTTAATATTGCAAAATTTCTGTTAGGTTTCAATCCTAAGCTTCTGCTTTCATCGCTTTATTCCTCAGAGTACACCTTTAGACCTCTGTATATATCCTGTTCATGGTGTGACGACAGTCTCAACAGTACATACTGTGTGTTTATACCCTTGTTATTATGATTTTGGAAGAAGTTTTCCACGTTGGTCTATTTCTACTGGTAATCAGTAGAACACAGATTTTTCTTGTTATTGAATATATATATATATATATATATATATATATATATATATATATATATATATATGTAAATCTATATTTATATATATGGGTGATATTTATGATACACCGATATTTTTAGATATTTTAAGGTGGTTATTAAAACTATACATTGATTGCATTTTGTGTAATTTGGTGTTTTCTCAGAGATTTTTTTTTGGTACTCCTGCTGTCCTTAGGTTTATGTTTTTATTTTATTTTTTTAAGTTAGTCTGACCCTGTTTTAGTGTCTTTGGTTCCATTGTTCACTTGTGAGGGCGGACTTTTTGAGAATTTATCTAAAAATAACCCAGAAACATTTCATTGTTTATTTTTCTACCTCATGCTTATTTTACAAATTAGGATGATAAATGCAGTATTAGGGCCAGGCTAGAGATTTTTCTTTTCTTTATTTCGAGTATAAAGTCGTAACATTACGAGAATAAAGTCATAAACTTACAAGAAAAAAAGTCACAATGAGAATGGTCGTAAAATTACGAAGATAAAGTCGTTAGATTACGAGAATAAAGTTGTAAGATTTATTGAATAAAGTCGTAAAATTCTGAGAGTAACGTTCTAAAATGACGAGAAACAAGTTGTATTTTATGACAACTCCTACAAGTAGCACTTTCTTCCTTAAAATGAAGAATGTTGAGCATCATGTAAAGTTATACTTTGGCTCTGGTTTGACAAATAAGGAAATCTTTTAGCGCACTAGCATCAAACTGGGCAGGATCTCAAAGTGGACTCAGGTTGCTGATTGGTGGAACTGGTCGAAAGTCATCTGCCTTTCGGAGCTTGAAGATTTCTTTCTGAAACAGATAGTTGTAGGATGACTTCATTCTCGTAATATTACAACTTTATTATCATAATGTTCCGACTTTATTCTGTATATAATTACAACTTTATTATCGTAATGTTACGACTTTATTCTGTATATAATTACAACTTTATTATCGTAATGTGACTTTATTCTCGTAATATTACAACTTTATTCCTGTAATGTTACGACTTTATTCTGCATATAATTACAACTTTATTATCGTAATGTTACAACTTTATTATCATAATATTGCAACTTTATTCTCGTAAAGTCACGACTTTATTCTTGTAATATTACAACTTTACTCTCGTATTGTTATGAATTTATTCTCGTAATATTGCGACTTTATTATCGTAATGTTATGACTTTATTCTCGTAATATTGCGACTTTATTATTGTAATGTTATGACTTTATTCTTGTAATATTACAACTTTATTTTCCTGATGTTACTATTCTTGTAATATAAGAGAAAAAAAAACTCTCGAGCAGTTCGCCTCTAACTATAACGAGTAGTGTGGGGGAGGGGCATGAAAGAGTCGAATCTTTTAGAAGATTTGAGCCACATGAATTGGATCTTAAAATGTGAACTGACTTCCCACGACCAAAAAAATGTAAAAGATGTTTCAAAGAGGTTTTACTGGAAAGTATTAGTAAAAGGAGGGTGATTCGTTGCCTTTATATATAAAGTGTGGATGAGAATTAGGAGCTCTGCAGGTATAAAGGTGGATGCTGAGCAGCTGGCAGGGCTGCTGTGGATGAAGCGGCGGCTCGGAGGAGGAGCAGAGCTAAGCTAACGATGGACAGAGGATTATCGCTTCAGCTCACATTCCCTGTAAACATAAAGGAATTAATAATGAAAAGGCATGGGATTTAAAAGGGACGCCCCAGTTTCTGACTCTCATTTAGTGACCACGCACAGGGAGATCCTCGCGTGTTTCCTCCGTGGAAAGACGGCGCTCCTAACGGCCGGTGGGATGCGGTGATGCTGCGGGTCGGTGCCCTGATCGGGACGGAGCTCCCTCCGTGCTTTAGAGGCCATGAACAGCCGTGACTATCAGCAGATCGACCCGCAGGCACTGCCGACCCCCGCCCACAGCCCGCTGCCCCACCCCGCTGACCGGAGGCAGGAACCGAGGACACCCAGGAGGAAGTGGGAAGTTTTCCCCGGGAAGAACCGCTTCTTCTGCGATGGAAGGATCATGATGGCCAGTGGGTGTGGGGTCTTCCCACTCACCGTGGGCCTTATCCTCGTCACCAGTACTTTATTTTTTATTTTCGAGTGAGTTGTTTACCTCTGTCTCATCTGATTGGGGGTTTCGATCATTATCATTTAATCTGTAGTTCTGTAACATCGGACTCGGAACATTTTTCTTAACTTCGTTATCTAGTTAGTTTTTCTATTTTTCTGTTTATCTAATATAGTGTCTCCTCCATTGGAGAAGCTTTTACATGCTTCCTTATTCTGACATCACATTAGGCAAATACACACGACCTGCTTTCCTTTAGGTGCATTTATTTAATTAAAAAAGCCTGTTTTTGAATGTTTCAGAAATTATTACTAATAACACAAAATATTGAAGCAGATTGTAAGGAGCTAGAGGCAGACTTTCCTGATTTCATGATCTGTATAATATCCAAAGCAGGGGCGGATTTAGGAAATCTTGGGCCCTAGGCAAAGACAGGAAGGGGGCCTTCTGCATTGAGAAAACAGGACATAAAACAGACCCATTATACAGAGACAGAAATTTAATAGAAAAGACATCGATTAGATGTTCTACGTTTTGTCCCTCTCATCTTGTATCTTTTCTTGTTGTTTTCCTTTTTAAATTGTCGTAGTCTCAAAAGTAATGAAAGATTTTTTCCAAGCATTAAGCTCAATTAGCTGATTGCTCCTTCCCAGTCCTTCATTTCACTGCAGACAAGCCATGATCTGCTTATCTGTTCTCCATTTTTCATTTGGATGAAATAATACCTGCATGAATCGTGACAGCAGACAAGATAGAGGAGAGTTTTTATAAATTAAAAAAAATATTAGTTTTTTTTTTATCATTATCAGATATGAAATTATTAGATATGATAAGTTATTCTTATGTGATCATTATCAGAATAATAAAACTGACCAACTTTTCTGAACATTGTTCAGCCTTTCTGTTAGTTTCTAGAAGGTTTGCTCTCTCTCACTGACCGCTGTATAAAACAGCAGAAATTTCTTGATATATCACAGAAAATACATTTTCTTTTTAAATAGCTTCTGTTATACTCTGTGTTGCCTCTGACTTTGAGTTTTTATTTAGTTACAACTTCCACACATCAGAGTGATGTTGTCTTACTGGTTGTCAGGAAAAAGAAGCAAACTTGAATTTTTAACGAAATTATTCTTTATCAGTTTCCGCCAAACAGAAATTTATATAATTTGTGTCATAAATCTCTGTCAATTTCTGTTCTTTAGCAATTCTTTTAACCCAGGTTTCTTTATAATAACCCATATGGCCTTGGTTATGTCAACTGCAGTTAATTAAATATTTCAATTACGTGATCTAGCATCCTAAATGACAAACCTCCACCTTTAAAGCGCAATTATTTTCAATTTTAATATGTAATTTTTGCTGTGTAATAGAATTCTAGATCACGAAAAAAGAACCAGATTCCCACTTATCTAATTAAGAAGCTAATATCTTTAAAAACGCAAACTTCAATGTCTCATCCAAATTTATCTTAGATTTATTTAGCATTTTTAGTTCTTGCTTAAGGTGATTTTACCTCTTATGTTGTTTCTGTTTGTCTTACTGTTAATAGGGTGGTTTCATTAATAAAGAAAGTTACTGATACAATGCAGTTAACTTGGTTCCAATTTTGGAAAAAGAAATTGAACTTTGAAAAACTTCTTGGCCAAAAAAGAAGTGGATTAGATTTTTTTTTCTCAGAATGTAGATTTTTAGGTTTCCGTTTTTTCAGATTTTTTTTTACATATCCACTTCTTTTTAAAATTGCCTTTTACGGACAACATCCTCCACACTCCTGGTGGCGGGCTTTCCTCTGGTTAGACGCATTTCTATTGGTCTGCATGGATGTTGGCAACAACATTTTTATTGGTTGATGTGTTTGTGTCAAGTGTGAGTGTTTGTATTGAGCTTTAAGTAAAGAAATATAATCTTTAAAACACAATAAAATAATAAAAAATCTAAAAAAGGAAAACTTGAAAAACATAAAATCTGTTAAAAAGCTTAATAAAATCTTAGAAAATGTAAAAATTGCTCTCAACACATGTTTTTTATTCAAAAGGTTTTTCAGTTCAGATTGAATATTTTTTTTAATTTCCATATACTAAAAAAATATTCACTCCCTAATAAAGCTTCTATTCTCTCTGCCACCAAGAGGTTCTCCCTCTCAGGGCTTCAGACGGTAATTAAAAGCCTCAGTTATTAAATGAGAGCAGACTGTAAGTCACACTGAGTTTGTATTGAGCTCTAATTAAAGTTGGTCTCTCTCTGCATCTCTGTCCACCACAGCTGCCCGTTCCTGGTCAAACATCTGACGCGCTGTATACCTGCTATTGGAGGGGTCCTTTTTGTGTTTGTGCTCATCACACTGTTCCAGACCAGCTTCACCGACCCTGGCATCCTGCCTCGAGCGACGCCAGACGAGGCTGCAGACGTCGAGAGGCAGATCGGTAAGAAACAGTCCTAAAGGTGGCACATTTTTGCATTTATTTAAAGGAAAAGTCGGTCAGCAAGGAATAATCAATGGATCATTATCTATACCTAAAATAATACGTTTGTGGTGATTTAATGAATTTAGTATTAATCAGCAAAAAATAAAACCATTTTCTTTGCAATCACTAAGCTCCTGGCATCTTCGAGCAGTGAAGTCACGGTGCGGTAAGCCTAGCGCCATTCTCTCCGCTTTAAAAGCAATGGGAACTACTAGACACATCTGCAATCAATAACAATTATTGAAGATTTCCAGAGGACTTCACCATTGAAATTCACCAGAGCTATAGTGAAACTAACAATGCCCACGTACATGGCAGTTGGATGTTGGAATATATCAGGTAAAAGTGAAAAAAAAGAGTTATTTCACCTTTCTGAATCATGATCCTCCACGGACGGGTTTCGTCATTGGATTGCCAACTTACCGCACCGTGACGCCACAAACCAGTTGATGACGGTAGTGCTCTTTGATAAACATGGATTCCTCCAGTAAAGCACATTCAAATGAAAATGACTCTTACTTAAAAACACTTTATCATTTATTGAACAGTATGTAATAGTTTTATATCTAAAGTATTTTCAGAAGTATGAATTCTGAATATGACCGGACTTTTCCTTTAAGTTCGTCTCATTAATGGTGTCAAATACAAACGTTTTTCACCAGTTTCCTAAACTGTTTTTCCAAACTGATGATTTCAATAAACTACAAATCAAATATGTCACTTCTATTAGATAAAGTTAGCATCTTTCAAAGGCTGATTACCTGCAAAAAAAAACAAAAGATTTTGTTCCAGAAGTTTCAATGTGGTCGTGAGTTTTATGTATAGTAAAAAAATATCTAAAATTGTGTTCTCGGCTCCCAGGAACCTCCCACTCAGAGGCAAGGTTTAGGCTGCAGTGATATAAGATACCTACCTGAACCGTGATGTCAGGAATTTGTGCCGTGAGGGGGGAAAATATGGTCCTGAATACAAGCTTCTTATTTGATTTTATTTAGAAATCCTCCAAGTCCGAGGCCATGGTTCTCCACCGGAAAAAGGTGGCTTGTCCCCTTCAGGTTGGAGGAGAGTCCCTGCCTCAAGTGGAGGAGTTCAAGTATCTTGGGGTCCTGTTCACGAGTGAGGGAAGAATGGAGCGGGAGATCGATAGACGGATCGGTGCGGCTGCTGCAATAATGCGGACGCTGCACCGGTCTGTCGTGGTGAAGAGAGAGCTGAGCGAAAAGGCAAAGCTCTCAATTTACCGTTCGGTCTACGTTCCTACCCTCACCTATGGTCATGAAATCTGGATCATAATCGAAAGAACGAGATCCCGGATACAAGCGGCTGAAATGAGCTTCCTCCGCAGGGTGGCTGGGCTCTCCCTTAGAGATAGGGTGAGGAGCTCGGTCATTCGGGAGAGGCTCAGTGTAGAGCCGGTTCTCCTCCACATCGAGAGGAGTCAGTTGAGGTGGCTCGGACATCTTCTTCGGATGCCCCCTGGACGCCTCCCTCGGGAGGTGTTCCAGGCACGTCCCACCAGGAGGAGGCCCAGGGGACGACCCAGGACACGCTGGAGAGACTACGTCTCTCGGCTGGCCTGGGAGCGCCTATGGCTTCCCCCAGCAGAGCTGGAGGAGGTGTCTGCGGAGAGGGAAGTCTGGGAGTCTCTCCTTAGTCTGCTGCCCCCGCGACCCGGTTCCGGATAAAGCGGGAGACGACGAGTACGAGTACGAGTAGAATCAAAACATCAAAAGGCAGCTCTTAACACCAAAAGTCCAGCTACAGTTAAGTCAATGTATTTTCCTGTAACATTTATGACAGAGCAACATGAAGTAGAATGTGATTGTGAGGTGGTAGAAAATTGTGTCATTAAAGGGGTCATAGAATGCAAAAACGAGTTTACCATGTCATAGATGAATAACAATAGTTTATAGGGTGAAATGGACGTACAGTGAAGTTCAAACCCCATCAACGCCTCCTTTCTCTGCTAATCTCACAATTCTAAACCTCCACCATAACACGGGCGAATCTAAACAAATCACCGAATTGTTGTAAACTTTTTTGGTTCATTTGGTTCTGGCCTGGACTTTTGTGATGCCCGGGGGGGCTGGGGGCCAGTAATGCAGGTGGTGGGAAGTACAGGGCCGCCGGTGTCCAGGCTACCGTCACCGGGTCGGGTTTGGTCGCTCCTTCCCCCGCTGCCGTCTTTTCCGTCTTTTCTGGACCAGCCCCGGAGATCATGGCTCGGTTCTTCTGCACTGTAGTTGACCAAAATCACTGACCACTTTGAAATTCCCGCCAGACATTTTTTAGGTATGAAAAGTAGGACATGTTCAGGAAAAAGAGCACATCTGGTCATATGAACAATTTTGATGTTTCAGTCAACGAGTGCTTGTTGCTATGATGAATCTTTGCTCAGCTACTTCTCTCGTTGTAAACCAACCAATCAGCTCCAGCTCATCTAAATATTAATGAGCATACCATAAAAGGTTGAAAACCTGTCGTTTCATTCTTGGGCTTTTAACCAGGCTTGCATTAGGGCTCATAGAACAGCTAATATGCTATTTTCAGCCCAACCAGTGTTAAACAACCTATTCACAGACCTTAAGGACCAGCATCAAAAACCCTATAGAATCGTTCTATGATCCCTTTAAAAAAAAAAAAAAATCTGTGTACAAATTAAAAATGCACCATTTGATCAGTAAATGCTGTTTGCATGTGTTAAGATCCAGATGTTCTGCTGCGGGCTCAGGTGTTTGATGGAGAATGTTAGTGAAAAAAAGACCCAGGAACACAGCAGACAGATGGTGAAAAGCAGAGCTGGATGACCAATCTATCTATCTAAACATTTTAACGTTTTTCTTTTAGGAAAACTTTTTGAAATCCTATCATTAAATCACCCTTTCATTCAACCACCTTTCATTCAACCTCCTTTCGTTTCACCCGACAGGCTGGGCAAGGAGAGTATTAACCATTGAATTAACAGAGATCCATGATAGTTGAATAAATAAATAACTTAAAATATACAAATTTAAAACATGCAAACATAATAATACAATATAAATAATAATGATATAATTAATGATAGAATATATACAATAATAGCAAAATATTTTTTATATATAACGTAATGCTTATGTCAGTATGAAGAAGTGAAACTTTTTTAATCATACCCCTTTACTTCCTACAGTCCATAACATTAACAGTCTTCCCAATTCTTATTTCCGTATTTTCTGACTAAAGAGTGCACCTCACTGCATTTAGAAAACTCAAAACGTACATACTGGGCTGTAGGTCGCTGATATCTACTGAACTGTCCCCCACCAAACCTCAAAGGGGATCTCTACATATCACCACTAGTGTAATGACTAATAAGGATGCTAGCTCTCGTTAGTTTTTTGGCTCCATAAACATCATATACGTCGATATAGGGGCCGATTTCCTGGGTTGGCGCCTCTTGGACGTCTTTGCTCTGGCAATCACTTTGGATGTCGGGGGCTTTGGGTCCCCCGGCACTCTCTTCGGCACTCTGTGGGGGCGGGTCTTTGGCTCTTAACAACCAGTATTGAGCATTTTTCCTTTGGATAAATTGTACATGCACAAGTGAACTCTCACAAACAACTACAGGTGCTTGGTTCCAGGTACTTAGAGATTCACTTTCATACAGAAAGCCAACATTCATATCTTCAGCTACCACAGTATTCATGTCAGATTAAATAATACTACTTATACTTCAGCGATAGTACCAAGGTGTTACTTTATTGTATCTCTTATACTATATCCGTTGGTTGTGCTGTTCTTTTTACATCTCTTTGCAGGTGATGAAGCAGACTGTAGATGTTTTATCGTTATCTCCCTTTTATCTCCTCTTTCTTTCATCTTCTACTTACAGTGCAGTGTCCATATAATCTGTTATACTCCCTGCATGAATTATAATACAGCTATTTATAAGCATAAATCAGGCAGAACACTATGCCGATAGCTGTACTGCTCCACTTGTGAGAGCTAGTTCTGCTGGGCTCTTTTTGGCATCAAGACAATTATTCTTATTGCCACATTGCCAGACAGGACACTGTTAAAAAAAAAAAAAGTGGTAAAGTAAGTCCTGCTCATCTGCATTGGTTTCCTCATTGGGTGATTAAGTCCCCTTGCTCATATAAGGTTATGTTTTAGAACTGGATCCACGGCATGATTAAGCTACAATACAGACCTACACAGAGATTCTGGATGAATGATGCTGTGAAGAAAAATAACGTCCTGCTCAGGTCTTTCCTTCTTTCACTTTAATTTGGGTTCTTTTCAGCAGCTCAACTTTTTTTCCAGTTAAATTTGGCAATCCATCAGTGGTGACTCTGGCAAGTTTACTCCAATGAACAAACACCTGTTCATTTAAGTCCTCTCCTCGTATTGTCCTGCGTTGTCCCCTTCAGCAGTTCCATGCTCAAAAGCTCCTCTGTTATCTCAAAACTTTTATTTATCCCTCTTTCATGTTGTTGCTTTCATTCAGTGCTAGTGAATATAAATTAAAGGACTCAACCTTTTTGTTTAACTCGCTGAGTATATCTTTGTCAATCAGTTCCACATGGCAAGTCAGTGCCCTATATGATAAGCTGATATTTTCAAACTTTACTTTTTGGACACAAGCTGTCTCTACCATGCATTCTTTCAAAATCTCTCATGAGTACTTGACTCTTGAATCCCAGTTTGTTGGTGAAAAAACTTCTGTAAATTAGCTGCCAACCTCTGAGCAGTAGCCACCTGTTCTTATGTTGACTGCTTGCTAGCGCAGTAAGCGTGCTTTGAGGCAAAGTGACGGCTGATATTGTACTATTTGAAAACTGCAACCGTTTCTTAGCGTATCAGACATACAGCTGTTGATTGGACTTCAGTGAAAATATATTTTACTGTCCACTTTTTTTTAAACACTTGGCACTCAGTGTCCGCCCATTTTTACTGAAGAGCGGAAATAGCAGCTGAAAAGTTACATTCCAACAAAGGTACATTTGTCTTGACTAGTTTGCCATCTATTGGGGAAATGAGGGTATTGCAGGGGAAAAGGAAATTACCAAGATTTTTGACCGCCGACCATGGAGGCATAGTTTGGCCATGTCTGGTCTCTTCATCATGTCTGTATACTTTACTGTAAGACCAATTAGAGCCTTTAAAATGACTAAATCTCTTATGTATTCCTCACTCAATACAAATCTTAAAATCATCAGATGTTAAAGTTATAAAACACGTAAACACAGAACAGTTGACTTACTGAAGTATAGCAATTCAAAGAGGTCAAGTGATGTAAATTTGAGAAAAAATAGCTGAGACATTAGATACTGTCATATTATTATATTACAGATCAGTTTAACCAGTCAGATCAGATGCTTTTTTGTGACAGGGAGCAAGAACTCCAACCCATAGTTTACTTATCGGTAGATTTCCAGAAAGACGTCTGAAGGAAACGATAGGGTTGGGCTTTTAGGGCACAAATGTTAAATCTATAATGTATTTCCTATGCCTCTGTGTAGATGACACTGGGAACACCAGCTATCGGCCTCCACCGCGCACCAAGGAGGTCCTCATCAACCAGCAGGTGATCAAGCTCAAGTACTGCTTTACTTGCAAGATGTTCCGGCCTCCTCGCACATCCCACTGCAGCCTGTGTGACAACTGTGTGGGTGAGCTGTGGAGCCTCACACTCATTTAGCTGTCATCAATAATGGAAGAGGATTCACAGTCCCATACCTTCTATGCTGAAACAGTATTCTTTAATACTGTGGCTAGAACAGAGAAGTTCTAATACTTTGTTTTAAAATGTCTTTATCTTGCAGAGCGGTTTGACCATCATTGCCCCTGGGTGGGGAACTGTGTCGGGAAACGCAACTACCGTTTTTTCTACACTTTCATTGTTTCGCTGTCCTTCCTGACTGCATTCATCTTTGGCTGTGTTACCACACATCTGGCTTTAAGTATGCAACATTGTTTTAGCATTCTGCTTAGTTGGGTTGCTGTTTGTAATCTTGCTGCTGATTTGCACTTACACCCTGTTGTATATCTTGGGGATAAATGTGCCAAACTTGAATTTGTGATTGAAGTCGGGCATACACTGTAAGATTTTTGGCCCTTTTCGGGCTGATTTTCCAGTTGTGCGAGAATTTTTCTATCGGGCCGACTTTCAGCCCGATCCTGCATCATGCATTGTTTAGTGTTAAGGGAGTAAAGAGGGGCGATCAGCCTCTCAAGATCACCTCCCGATCAGGAATCGTAAGGTCGGGAGAAAATCAAACATCTTTGAAATTCAGTCAGCCGTCTAAACAAGGATCCTTCTTCTTCCTCTCAGATGAAAACACAGAAGCATGGTGGGGGCGCAAGTGAAATGGAGTTCCTTCTCTTAAGGGTTTTTGGAAACTGTTAAGTAAATGATGTAGGGAATGGTCCATTGATCTGTCCAATGATTGGTCTTGCTTAGGGCCAGGAATCATCCAGTGATCCCCCAAAGAACAATCCAGGGTTTGGTCTAGTAATCCAGTGTTTTTCAACCCTGGTCCTCAAGGCACACTGCTCTGCATGTTTTGGATGTTTCTGAGCTTCAGCACACCTGATTCAGATGATTGCAGTTCAGCAAAGCCTGATAATCTGCTTTCAATTGATAACAGGTGTGTGAAAGCTGGGAAACATATAAAACATGCAGGGCAGTGTGCCTTGAGGACCAAGGTTGAAAAACACTATAGTAATCGTTCCAAGGATTGGCCAGGAATCAGTCAAAGATCAATCCGATAAAAGTGGGCTGTTTTCTCCTTGCTAGGAAGGGGGATGTAACCTAAGTAGAGAGAGTTCAGTATCTTGTGTTGTTTACAGATGATTTTAGATAGTAACACTGGAATGTGACCTGCTGTGACACAGGTAAGGTTTGGGTTTATAGGGGAAAAGAAAGAACTAAATCAAATGGATTAACAAGTATGTCTAAATTAATAAGTGGGTGCCCTGCATCATCTGGGGGGGGGGGGCTCAGCGTGTCAGGCTTATAACAATAGGACCCAGTATTCGAGGCAGACAGGCAATTAGATTTCTCAAACGTTTCTTAGGAACGGAACTGCAGTAAACCGCATCTGCTTCTAAGGCAGGAACCTCTGCAGGAGGACACAACAGGTTAGTGACCACGTCTGTGTGGTGGAGAATGATAATGAACACGTGAGTCACTAACATGTCTTATTGTTTAGTCTGAGCCCAGAGGATGAGGTTGGTTCCAGTCTCTCGGCTACCAACAAGACGCAGTGTGCGCCACCCAGAGAGTTCCAGACACTCAGTTAAAGAAAGGCAGGATAATCCAGAGGGCGAAGCTAAAGCTGGTGTCAAAGAGGTGCTTGGCAGTCAGAGCCAGGAGATCAGAGGTCTGAAGAGGTGCTGTAGGGACATTCAGAACAGACTCCGGAAACAGTTCCAGGTTCGGTTCACAGACAGGCAGAAATCCAAAGACTGGTCAGACAAACAGATCAGAATGGGGACAGGCAGGCTCAGAGGTCCAGAGAAAGAACGGGTCAGGATCAGACAATCAGAAACACAGGTACGCTAGAGAACTCTCAACACAGGTTCGAATAATCTGGTTCTGATGACTGGTCTTCAGAGATAGGAGGTGACTGAAATGAGAAATCAGACCAGACATCAGCGCCAAGATCCTGACACAGAGCTCCTCTGCATCTGAAGAAACTGGACCAATTGGTTTAGACAGAAGATCATGATGATTTCTGGGTAAATCCCACTGGAAGGAGAGCCTGCAGTGCACCCTGACTACATTATGCTGACAGTATGGCTCACCTGGTCTATGAACATACTTTGGATCCTTGAATTAACTTGAGAGTTTTGCTTATTATAACTGGTCTCTTAACTGGTCCAAATCAAATCTTTTTGATTCCCCTTAAGGCTATAATATAAAAAAACTCTTCTTTTGTTTTTTTTTCTAGGGGCCCAGGGAGGTAAAGGCCTGGTGTTTGCCCTTCAGGAGAGTCCTGGCAGATATCCTTGATATCTATGTTTCATTTTCACTGTGCTTCATATTGAGCCTAATCTAAGCTCTTGTTTTGATGCAGGTAAAAAAATAACACAATGGTTTAAGTGATGGTAAATGACAAACAACAGTTGGAAAATAGTCTCACAATTTATAGGAATTTTTGATGTTTGCTAATTTCATCTGTTAGAAATTAAACCAATGTTAATGCTGTTTGTAAGTCATATAGATCATAACAATATGAATTGTCTCAAAAGCAAATTACAAATAAAACCATTACTATTTAAATAAGTCATTTAGTTTTCATACTTGGCATTGTACCAAAGAAAAAAAAACCTCACATTAATATAAGTTAAACCTTTACTGAGGCTTTCCTTGACCCCTTTCTTTACTGCAGTAGAGCTGGCTATATGTTTCTTCTCAGTCTGGTCCATCTTGGGCCTCTCGGGCTTCCATACATACCTTGTCGCTTCCAATCTGACCACCAATGAAGATGTAAGTACTCAATACATGACGGTGTCAGTGGAGGGGGGGCTATAAATTCAAAATAGACGATAACAAAAACCAATCAAACCTGTAGACAGTTATCACACCAGTATATGTATATAAATGTCAACTACAAAAAACATTATAAAAAAAACACTTTATAAAAACAAAACATAATTTCATGTTCAGGTTTACTTTTTGTGCATAAATCTTGCCCTTCTGAGGCTGTGAAGGTGGATCTGTGTTTTGCATGGTCCAATATTGTTTCACAAACCTAAAAATATAATGTACCAGTTTAAAGCTGGTCTGTAACATAATGGAAATTTGATACAAGAAAATATTAATAATTAAATAACATAAAATATTTTTCTTTGATTGCTTTTGTCTTCTTTACTTCATTTCTTTAACACTTCCTTCCTTCCTTCCTTCCTTCCTTCCTTCCTTCCTTCCTTCCTTCCTTCCTTCCTTCCTTCCTTCCTTCCTTCCTTCCTTCCTTCCTTCCTTCCTTCCTGTTTAAGGTTAATGTAAATTAAACTGATTCGTTCTCCAAGAGAAACATATTTTGTAGAATATTTGCTTTTAAAGTTCAACCATGAAACTTCGTGCCAATAATATAATTATAAAATCTGAAAAAACATTGAAGCCTCTTATCCTTAGAACAGATATATAGTTTTTGGCAGCAGGATGGTTAAGAAAATTATCATGAATATGTGAGTTTATTTTAAATCTTTTTTTTTTTTTATTACCATCCCTAATAGAAACTCTTAAGACATGTAAGATGTTAGGGTGTGAGTGTTTTTTTAAATTATGTAATGACAAATATAATAATTTCTTACAATTAAATGCCACTTTGCAAACATGAAATGTATTTTTCAGATCAAAGGCTCCTGGTCAGGGAAGAGTGGAGACGGTGTAACCAACCCCTACAGTCAGAAAAACATCTTTATCAACTGTTGTTCGGTTCTCTGTGCACCTATGCCACCCAGGTCAGTCTCTAAAGACTTAAGGATCGATAAAACATTATTATTTTTATTATACCCTCATTTTATTTTAAGCTTTGCAAACTACCAACATGTTTGAAACTACATTTAAGCTTTTTGTGCTTTGCTATTTGCTCCTTTGGATGTAATCCTGTAGATTATATGTAGACAACAACCCTACCAGTGTTGAGTCAGGCAGTTCATCTGACATCAAGATAAATGTTCTGCTGTATATAAAAAAGGTTAAATGACAGCCTTGGAGTTAAACACCAAACATTTTAAATGTGATCTCATGCTAACTCCAAAAGAGGTTAAAAACTGGCGCCCGAGGAGAGTGATTTTCTCCTCTCGAAGCGGCATTTTCTTGTGTAAGTGTGATTTTGATGCTGTGGTAGATCAGCCATGTGCAGAAGTAGTTTAACATACATGCAAGTATGTTTATTTTGCTCATTGGCGTTTTGAAATAAATGTGACGCAATACAAATCAACGGGATTTCAGCTCATGTAGTTGAAATCCCTTCTGTTCTTCATCTAAAAAGTTTTTTTCAGTTCAAAGCTGGTGAGGGAGAAGTTTCAAGCTTTAAGGCTGTTTTGCAGATCGGCCTCCGGTTGTTGGTGCCGTTGACTCACTGACATATTTGCTTATATGCAGTAAATAATTAGCTGCGAACTGACGGAGCATCAGGCTTAATGCTGAATTTAGTTTTTTTTAAAAACATGAACTTAAAGCCTCCTTTTCTGATCAGTAGTTGGACTCAGTCTGAATACCTCAAATCAAAATTCCTCATCTCTCTGTAACTGAGATTTTTCTGGGATTTTTAATGTTTACCTCTCAAAGAATGATGAACCAATACCCTCACTGACCTAAAGCTCTGATGTTAACTGTTCTCCATGTGCAGCTCCACCAGTGCCCCTATAAAGGAAGCACACTTTAGGGGCACTTTACTTCAAAGGGGAGAATGTTGTTAACCAGAGTTTATTTTCTTTCTGCCTTTAAAGCTTGATCGACAGACGAGGCTTTCTGCCTGCCAATGAGGCGGCCCAGACTAGTGACGCGGACATCGAGCCGCCCCGTCTAAATCATAAAAACGAGATGAACGGGGTAGGAGCATCCCTCCATCTTGTGTTTGACTTGCAGGAATCCTCCTCTGACTCTCCCCTCCTCCTGAATAAATCCAGAACCGCAGCCCTGCCTGCCAGAGGCCCTGTTGCCTCCTGTAGTCCCAGAACAGTCGCTGTCTGCTTGCCTGTGTTCTTGCAAAGGTTGACCCGTCTGTGCTACATCCAGAATGTTGCTACGCTGATCATGCTGGTTGGGGTAAAGTGCCTCTGATTCTTAAAGGAGAAGTCCGGTCACATTCAGAATTCAAACTTCTGAAATTACTTTAATATAAAATAATTACACACTGTTCAATAAATGACAGGTGTTTTTAATTTAGAGTAATTTTCATTTGAACGTGCTTTACTGGAGGCATCCATGTTTGTCAAAGAACACTACTGCTACTAACACCTACTGGTTTGTGACGTCACGGTGCGGTATCGGCTGTTGATCAAGTCCCAGTGCTGTATCTGGTGTTTGTCACAATGCGCTATTATCCAAGTCATTCTTCTTCCAAATGTTGGCTACATATTACATGTTTCTTTTTCTCTGGCCAGAAGTTTGATCGCAAATCCTCCCTCTTCAAGTTGGCAATCCAACGACGAACCCGTCCGTGGAGGATCAGGAATCGGATTAGGGTTAGGAAAAATAACTATTTTTTCACTTTTACCCGATTTATTACAACATGCCATGCACGTGGGCATTGTCAGTTTCACTATAGCTCTGGTGAATTTCAATGGTGAAGTCCTCTGGAAATCTTCAATAATTGTTGTTGATTGCAGATGCGTCTACTTTAGTAGTTCCCATTGATTCTGCTTTTAAAGCGGGTAGAATGGCGCTAGGCTTACCGCACCGTGACGTCACTGCTGGAAGATGGCAGGAAGGAGGTGTTACTATATTTGGCTAAAAATGGCCGCTCCCAGACTCAGTAAACACAACGAAGATTATTGTATTTATTTATTTTTTTACTGATTAACGCTAATTTCATTAAATCATCACAAACTAATTAGTTTTAGGTATAAATAATGATCCATTGATTATTCCTTTGCTGACTGGACTTCTTCTTTATTGAGGCCTAAATAGAAAGGCACTTTTTGTCTTTTAATGAATGCACAGAAATCCCTGTTTGCCATTATCACTTTGTGTAGCGGTTGTATAATGTGTTTGATGCCTCAGTGGTTCCTTTGACTATAAATATAATCAGAAAGTTCAGGCAGTGCAAGAGGGGAAGAATTTTCCCCAATCCTCCTCGTCTTTTTCAATATTGTTCTTGTTGTTGGTGATGCACTGCAAAAAAATAAATCCGTAATTTTTTCTTTATCTGAGGAGGTAAGTGGGACACTTTGCTAATGGAACAAGACAATTTATATTTAGAATAAGAAAATACAATTCCATTGTCAAGTGCATATTATCTAAATATCTTAAAAAATAAGTATATTTGTTCTTGGATTGAGGAGGTAAAAGAGACATTTTGCCAATGGAACGAGACAATTTACACTTAAAAAAAGAAAACACAAGTGCATTTTAACTAATTATCTTATTTTAAGAGTAAAAATACTCATTCCATTGGTAACTCTCATTTACCTACTCAAATTAAGGGTAAATACATAAGAAAGAAATGTTTACTTATTTCTGGATCGTTTTGTTGTATTATTTCAAATGTAAATTGTCTTATTCCACTGGCAAAGAGTCTCACTTAGCTGCTTAATTCAAGAAAAAATGCATTTATTTTAAGAAAAATTGTCTTACTTAGATGAACATTTTTTGCTGTGTATATAGAACTAGTAGAGAACGTCTCGTTTTCAGCAGTATCTGCACCTGTAGGTGTGGTTTCAGTCCAAAGCGTCAGTACTCTGATATCAGGTAGCTGCTATGTGGCACACAGACACACACAATATTCTGTGGCAAGATTTGAAAACTGTTACCATCTGATCTGTGTTAAAAAGAACTGGAAAAATGGACTTTCTGATGGAAGGTCAGACACAGTTCAGGGGTGTGAATGTAAGCCGGTGTTCTGTCAGATGAGCATACACAACAAAAAAGGCCTTCTAAAAAATAAGAATAAATATAGTGTTTTAAGTGAATTATTGTTTATTTTGAGCAAAATAATCTGCCAGTGCAGCAAGCAAATGAGACTTGGTCAGATTTCTTAAAAAAAGAACATAATATCCAAGTAGTAAGCATCCAAAAAAAGTTAAATCAAGTAGAAAAATCTATTTTTTCTTTTACTTGTTAAGATTTTTTCTCTTATTTTGAGCAATGTATTCTAATTTATTAGTCATTATTGCTCAGAATTAAATAACCTCTAACCAATTATTGCTCAAAACAAGCATACAACAGGCTTAAAAACAAGGCAAATGTACTTGATACCAGTTCATTTAAAGGCTTAAAACTAGTCTGTTCTTCTTAGCTAGAATTCATTTCATTATTTAGGTGTAGTGAATGTATGGGGAAAATACACTTGACAAAAACTTCAAAACTTTTTTTTAATTAATATTTTAGCAGAAATGTCACAGAATTAACAGAACTTATAGAGCATGATGTAATAACATAAAATTAAGGGCCAAATGTAAAAAAAAAAAAACGGCGTTCCCCTTTAAGGCAGAGCTTCTATTATAGATTCAAGATTCAAGAGACTTTATTGTCATTCATATCACGTGTTACATGAGGTAGAACGAAATTGAGAGTCACGGCCCCAGTTACATCCGAATATAAAAAATAAAATATAAAAACTAGCTACAAGATCAAATTGTGCTAGCAAATTATATAAATAGAAAAAAATATTTACAGGTATATAAAAACAAGAAGTAGAAAATAAAATGTATATTAATAGGAATGTACAGGATAGATGAAGTATGAGTAATGTAGCAGCGTGGGAAGATAAATTTAGCAGTGCAACATTTTAAAGTGTCCGAGTGTAAACTGCAAATACAGTGTCATTGGGGGGGTTAGGGGTTGAAGTGACCAAGTTATTGTTTGGGACAGTGCAGTGAGAGAGACTGAGAGGAGTTTGAGAGTCTCACAGCTTCTGGTATGAAGCTGTTTCTCAGTCTGGTTGTCCTGCATTTCATGCTCCGCAGCCTCCTGCCTGAGGGTAGCGGGACAAAAAGTGAGTGTGCTGGGTGAGTGAGTGATAAGCATATGTATGATGTACAGTAGTTATGATGTATTGTAGTTTACTTTGTTTTGCAAACAGTGAATGATCCACTAGTGAGGTTCAGAATCTCAAAGCTAAATCATGAATGACAATCTCAATAACCCTTGAATGCAATCAGATTTGATTAGCAGGAATATCTTAATGAGATGGGGTCAGTTCTTAAAACAGGTTAATATGGATCGTCTTATTGTCTTGAAACAAGTAAAAATGTACTCACAGTCTAAATGTTAACGCGACTCAGTCCACAATGTGTGCTATTTTAAGAAAAAAGCTGCTCAGAATTAGTTTTATTATCTATTTAGGATGAAAAAGGTGAATTTTCTTAAAACAAATCAAATAATCTTAACAATATTCAGTCTTACTAAGAAAATACATTGAAAAGCAAGTGTAATAAGACCAAAATGCTGAATCCTTTTTTGCAGTGTACCCCGTCCGACCAGCATACCTATAATCAATACGCATGCGCAAGACGTCAGATGTGCGTTTATCCCTTTAGTCATGTACAAAAAAATAATTTATGGTCAGATAACCATATGCTTCAAAAACACCAAAAAGTAAGCCATTAAATTGATTTTTTGTACATGACTAAAGGGATACACACCTGTTTAGGTGATTTAAAGTTTATTTTTCATGCAAACCTAAAGGGATAAACTAAATGGATAAACGTATATTTATTATGGGTATGCTGGTCTGACAGAACACCGGTTAATCAGTTATTTATTTATTTATCTCATTAGCTTTGAAAAAAATGTCAGTTTTGAGACACCTCAATCTTTATTTTGTTTTAATGGATTAATTTATGTTTCATGTTTTTTTATTGATCCATATAAGTGTTTGTGTTAGGTTCAAACACCAAACACCTTATTCAGCAACCTGCACAAAGAATGACACAGAGAATTTAGTATATTTTACTTGCAAGGAGAGGGGATCAGAAACTGCATTCAGTTACAACTTCAAACCCACTCTGAAGCAGTATCTGCTCTCCAAGCCCTTTATTGAAGAAACGCCCTGATTACAATGTGGTTTCAACCGCTAAAGGGGGAGGGAACAGAACCCAGTTGAAACCAGAATTTTCGTACAACATCATACAACATCATACAACATCAGAGGATAAGGAGAACCCCTCTCCTTATCTAGTTGCACAGTTCTCCATTCTCCTCCACACCCTTAACGACATCTGTTAACAGCAGTCGCAGTCAACATCCCTCCTGCACAGACTTAAAAAACATTAATGACACAGCAAACAAAACTAAATGTTTTAACACTCTTTGTAATATGAGTAAGATAGAGATAACAAAATGTGTAAGTATAATATGATTAAAGTAGAATAACTTATGTTCAATTAATTAACCCAACATTTCCCTCCTGTTTATTCACTTTAAGCTATTTATTTTTATCATTCAATAGTTACTTCTTTTCAGATTTTCAACTAAGAAATCATTCTTTTTTCTTTTTTTAGCTGTAAAGGGTACACTCAGAGGTACTTTAAACTGGTGGGTTATTGTCGTTGGGATTAGGATAAAAGTCAGGAAAGTGTAAAGAGAATTCATCCTCTTCGCTGTCTTCATCATCCGATAGGTGTTCCTCAGTGGACATAAGGGCATACATTTCTGTTTTAATGGGTTGTATTGCAGTGGTAATTAGTCTATTTAGCAGCAATCTAATACATGGAATACAACAACATCCACATAAGGTCAGGATGGCGGCAAATATAGCTACAGACATCAAAATAGAAAGTACCAGTTGTTTGTATTTACCAAAAATGTCTCCAGATCCATCCCACATTTTTGTGTCAACTCCAGAATGGTCTTTCATTTTGCTGTTAAGAGAGCGAAGGCCTTCAAGG